CCCCCCCCCCCCCCCCCCCGCAGCCCCTCTCCCTGTGCGGGTCTCTCTTTTTCCCCTTATCCACAACTTCTCTTAAATGCTGTAAAGTTCAGGGAGAAACATAGCCTTTGTAGTCCGAGGTCTACTGATGGGCTTCACAGAGACTTCTAAAGACGTGGATTTCATTCATTCACCTCTCCCTCATTCCATGTGTCCATGAGTCCATGTGTTGGGTTGAAGTCTGGGACCCTGAAAATTTCATTTCTGCTTTCAAAGACGTCATGTGGTCTTTCTCCAGTCTTAGAATGAAGCATGTGCCAAAGGAAAAGCTTCTTTTTTTTCATACCTGTATAGTGAGCAGTGTTGGATCCAGAAAAGGGAGGAAAAGTGACCAGGCCTGTTGCGAAGTCCGCACACGAGAGCTTAGTTCCTCCTGCCTTCTGACTTCTAGTTGAATGCTAATGTGTGGATGCTGAGTTTTTGCCTGTCACATCCTCTGCATGTTGAAACTATTTTAACAAGTTGCATGTGTGACTCTTAGAGGGTTTGGCACACTGACTGCAATGAAGATGAAATGTTTTCTTCCCCTGTCAATGTTATTTATGCTCCTAATGGTATTTATGTAATTACTCTTGTTACAGATTTACTGTTTCAAGCCGGTTAGCTCCTTTACAGCAGAGCTCCTTTGAAAATAGGCTCCCTTCATCTTGACGCTGAAATACTCGTGTTGCTGCTGCCTACCATGAAAACATTTTTAGTTTCTCATTTGCATGCCCTATAACATTTTGCTACTTGTTTATCTGAAATAAGAAAACTGTGAATTCATCCCGCTGGTGCCTTGTAGCTGTGGTTTAGTCAGTGTTGTGCAGTAGCGTTAGCACAGTGTCTGACGGAGTTGCTGTTACTTTTTTTTTTTTTTCTTCTTGCCTGCAGGGGTCCATCATTAGCAGTCCACACACACGCCGGAGAGACACCACGCCACGTGAGGGCGCACCCCCGCGCGGCCATCCCTCCATCCCTAACTCGGCATCGACCTCCATCCTTGGGTCGTTCTTTGGCAGCAAGCGAGGCAAACCGTCATCCCAGAGCCACGCCCCTTTCCCTCCCACTATCCAACCCACTCTCATATCCCACAAGCCCCACCCGACCAACCTGCACCACACAGCACAGGTAGCGCATACAGTGCAACTCCACGGTCACCATTCCCAGTACTGCCAAGTCCCACAGAACCCGCCGCCGTACCACCACCACCACCACTACCACCCCCCTCCCCACACGCAGCACCACCAGCACCCAGGCTATGGCTCCCAGGGCCACCAACAACCCCATTCACAGCACAGCCATTACAGCCAGCATTCCCATCACGCCTCACACTCCCAGCATGCTCCACAACACCACAGTCAGCAAGCGGGTTCGGCACCTGGCGGACCCAAACCTAAACACAGTGGCATCAGCACCGTAGTGTGATGCTCCGAACACAGAGAGGAGAGGCGAGGAGGGGACTTAAAGACGGAGGGACAGTTGCTTACACCAAAGGGACTGACAGCATAACTCTATGGCCTGTCCACTGTGTTTTACTGCTGCTGTGATGGGAACCAATCACACGCAGTCACCTTTTTCACCTCCAGGTCCAACCAATATGCAGGATGGGAATCGGACTCAGTAGTTCCACCAGGGGCCTTTACTAGTTTGCCTGATCATGGGCCTGGCCCCATCAGGGTTTTTGTGAGGGATGGGGAGGGAAGGGGGAGGGGGGGTTCTGTACAGGAAGACTCTATGTTTTCCACACACACACACACTCACACACATCGCCTGGCCGTGTCGGCTTCAGAGAAAATGTGTTCTCTCACCAAGCCGCTCCCGACTGCTTCATTCCTACAATAGCCTGTCTTACCTTCACACAATCAGGAGGAGAGACGCCCTGACGCGACAACATGGCTGACGGTTTTCTCTGCAAACAATGACGCCGTCACTCCTTGTGTGCAGCCAGTCCACTTTCAACTCTTTGGTTTCCAGATCCTTCCATCATATGAATGCAATTTTGTCGTTGCCTCCCGTAGAGCTCATATGTAGTGAAGAACCTAGACATAATCATTTAAATCAAAGGACAGTTGAGCAGCTGAGTCGACCGTCTCAGTCATTGTAGTTCTAGTGCTGTATTTACTGTAGATGACAGCTATACGTGTTGTCTCCTAGCTCTCATAAATAAATGTGCCAATTATTAATGCATAATCTATTTAGTCAAGACTTCATGTACAGTATATTGTGCGTAAAGTAATTTGTAAGATTATACTTACAATTATTATTATCAGCAAAAATGAATTTTATCAGTATTATACTGACTCTGTGGTAACAGGATGTAGATCTGAAAGGAGTGAACTCCCATTCAGTCCGGCCTATAATCTATTCTGGAACTTTTGCCTTTCGAACGGATCAGAAGGAGCGTCTGGACGGCAGCTGTTGCATATATGGGCCTCAACGGGCTGTGCTGCCACAGCTGAAGCCTCAAAGCAGACTTTTCCTGTCAACTCACGCAGATGATAAACTGGGCCGGTTGGTTGTTTTAATCTCGGTTTACTTCTCATACTGTGGCTGCTTTAAACTGAAAAAAAAAAAGTAATGACGATTAATGGTGAAAAGACGTTTTAAATACACTTGGAGGCTCAGCTCAAATGTTACAAATGGACCCACAGAACGCGTTGAACATGTTAAGTCTGTTGCCTTGAAATTATGCGACAGCTGCTCTCTTGACTCTCAAACTCAAAAACAGAAACACTTTCGAAATCTTCTTTTGCCTTCTTTAGTATATTTTTTTTTATTCGCCAACAAGGTGAGTGAATAAAATCTTACATAGTGAAGTATTTTTTTTCATCTTTTTTCTATCATATGTGCAATATCTTTGTACTGATTTTGTACATTAACAACACGCAAAGTGTCCCTCTAATTTGTGCGTTTTTTTTCTTTTTTTTTTTTCATGTTGCGTCATTATTTATTTATTTTTGTTTTTGACCCCTGTCAAAGTCTTTCTTAGTAAATTAATGTGTGGCTGTCCTCGTGGTCTCATGAGAGGCACAGACTTGGAGTTCAGTGGAATGTCTAGTAAGTGATTTTTTGCATGTAATGTTATTAATGTGAGGCTATCCTCTGCACATTGTATAACAAATCAGTGTCACCATAGCAAGTTTAAGTGCAATCATGTTCAGAAAAATGCAGACTTGTACTATGAGTGGAAGTCTGTTATCTTGTTGTCCAGGACGAGATTCAGGTGAAAAAAAAAATCCTTTTTCATTTAAGAATATATAAATACTTACTTACACAGTTCACAGTGGAGAGAGGAATGTGTGTATATATTTTAGTAAAAGGAAAATGCTTCTCTTTGGGCTGAACAAAAATATTTTGCTGGATAAGCACATATGAAAGAACACTTTCATTTTTTTCAGGAATTGCAGTTATAATATACAAAATGCAAACTGAACAAAGGAACTGGGTATATATGTAAAGAATAACTTTCTACATTCTACAAATAAGAGTCTATTCTAGTGTGTAAATTAGTGACAGTAAACTGTTTGTCCCAATATTCAGGTTGTAAATGTATTTTAACATTCACAAAGAAAACCATTGCCATAAGTCAGGCTTATTCTCACACATTTCTCCTCATGGGAATTAACGAGGACAGAACAGATGACGGACATATCACACATGGGGACGTTAATGATCAGTTGAATGTGTCTTTCCATTAATTTCATTTTTTTTTTGTTTTTGCTATAATTCTGAAATCTTGGGGTGATATAAAACTCAGAAATCTGTTTGTTTTGGTGTGTGTTGTAGTGCTTCAAATGTCTACAGTCATTCTTTGTGAGGAAGTACCCCAACGATGCACTGCATGGATCGTCATGTGTCCTATTCACTGTGAGCTGATGGGGAAAGAAAATCAGCCTATAAATTTTGGTTTTGATTCATTTTGAATTTCCTGTTGTTGCCCTATGTTAGGCTAGTTATTGAAGTTCGGCATGCATTTCATCAACAAAACCATTGTGTAAATTACAAATATAAAGAACGTTGCACTTCTGTTGCTGAGGGCTTTCATCATGTAAATATGGGATGTTTGGTGTGCAAACAGATGAACTGCTTGGAAGGAGGGTTTATCTTTACGAAGCCCAAAAGGGACCAAGAGAGAGAGACCAATGGGTTAAAGCAGCTGTACATAGTGTATATGATCAGTACTCTATTCTGATATCTGCAGTTAAGATCCTGATGTATATACATCACCTCACAGATGGATAGAGGGGTGATATATGAACATGTCTCTGCCTCCAGCTGTCATGAACTGATATCTGCTGGAGGAATCAAAAACGGACTGTTAGAAAGTTCGCTGCCATTTACATCCAGCTCTTTTTTCATACATGCAACCCCCACCTCTCTCTCTCTCTCACACACACACACACACACACACACACACACACACATCCTGCTGTTCAGTCTGGAGTGAGACACATTTTAAAAAGAGGAAAAGACAAGAATGGCCTCATTTATATGTGCATTCTGTTTGTACAGTGAGTAGTGAGTCAGTAAGACCCCAGTTATTGTTAAACTTCCAACTGTGACAATGTTGAGAACGCAAAATAAACGAATATATGACTTATGGTACACATGTGTTGTCTTTGCTCTCCAGTGTATATAAAGTTTAAAAAAAATACGTATCTCATCGAGCACCGAGTCAGCTGTCGGTGTGAATCAAAGGGAAATTAAATGTTTTTTTTGTTTCCTCCTTTCGGTATAATGCATTTTACATTAGAGCCTTATCAGGCTCTAATGTAAAATGTAAAATTATCAGGCTCCCATAACTTCCACTTCCAGGCTCCAGCGTTACTTTCCATTACTTAGTGCTGCAGCATTTCCACCAGAGGGCATGCATTGAAGTGCTATAAAATTAAAAGGAAAATCTGTGCCATTACACCATCTATGGGTGAAAAGTACCTGCTACACACTTCCTCAGGATCAGCCAGCGAAAATGATTTATACTCTTACCTCAGATACCTTTAGATTTAAAGCACTTCTCTGAAGCTGTGGGAGTGCGACATGTTTTTCTTGGATTGTAGATTTTATTGGTTATGTGCCCATTCTGCTTTGCAGCTCAGAATTTCCATTAAGAAACATTTGCTTGAGGTTCCACGGTAGCTCAGCTGGTAGAGTGTGCACCCCATGTGTCTGGGTGTCCTCACTGCAGCAGCCCGAGTTCACATCTGTCTTGTGGCCTTTTGCTACATGTAGTCCTCTGTCTCTCTCTCTCTCCTCTTCACAGTCTGTTCTAATAAAGGCAAAAATAGCCAAAAAAACATTTACATTTTTTTTTTAAACAGCTTTCTCTTTAGCCTTAAGCTCATTCAGTATTTGGCTTTCAAACTATACATTTAAATTCACATAAAGCTGTACATGCTCCTAGCTATATTTTGCAGTGAAGTGCCCCCTGGGCCCTCAGCACTGCAGTAGATGTCTGTAGTGAACGTTGTGTGGGAGAGCTTCAGATAGCCTGCGCCTCTTTTTTTTTAATAGATAAACTCTTATCTCCTCTAAGCAGATGGATTTCCTTCATGTCAAATGCGCCATAACAGTGCAATGTTATTGGTGCGTTCCTCACACTGCAATGCTCTGCATTGGGTGTGTGATTATTCCGTTTAATAACACGTTGGTTACAGAATGGGGATACTCTGAGTTAGGCATAATGTTGGAATACTCTTAATCTCAAAAGGACAGTGAACATATCATTAAATGTTAAGGACGACTGGCGCCACAAGAAGTAACTTCCAAGTTGGTTTGACTTTAAAAGGTTTGTATTCTTTCTTTTTTAATTTAAAAAAGGGATTTTACATTTGCCTATATTTATTACAGTTTAAGGATCCACAGGGATATTAAATATCTTTCAGCTCATAGATGTATTTGGCATAAACAGTTCAATCAAGATTCTAGACATTGACAGTTTTTGTTTGTTGCTTAATGTTAATCTTGTTCTAATACACATTTATAGAGACTGTCTGCTTTTAGAAATATCCAATATAAGAATTTACTGAGTACTACACTGTAAGAACAACCCTATTCCAGTTTATGATGCAAACAGGAAATTACAGTGCAGAAAGGGAATAACCTTTTCCTCGTCCTGCAGGATGCTCTGCGGTCTAAGCTTAGCTGTCTTCCTTGTCTGGGCCACATTAAGCGCACACACTACTGGTCAACCCTGCCTATGTTCAGCCCTCATGCCTGCTGGTCTGCAGGTCAATTGCAGCTCTTTAAACCTGGTGGACCTGCTTCATCTACCGTCAGAAACCACGGAGCTCCATGTGCAGGACAACCGGCTCACCTCGGTGTCTCCAGGCCTCTTTGACAGACTGGTTGGTGTGAAAAAGGTCTCACTATCTGGGAATCCTTTTCACTGAATGCAGGATCCAATACCTGCGGAACTGGTTGCTAAAGAACAGGGCTGTTGTCTCCACGGAGCCCACCTGTGCCAGTCCAAGCTCTGTGGCCCAGAGAGCCATCGCTGAACTCGATGATGACTACTTTTCCGCCTGTCATGGGAAGCTGCACCCATGGGACTTACAACACTGTGATGGGAGTGATGCTTTGCTGCCTCATTGTTCTGCTTCTGTGGAGCTTGAGACTAGCCAAAAGGTCTACCGTCACTCTGTACATATACGAGAGACATTCGGGATTCGAGGCCGACTCTCTGCGCTCACTGAAGCCCAAACACAGGAGGAGGATGCACACCGCACAGTCAGAGGTCAACGTGGAGTCTGTCACTTGTGCAGAGGACCTAGAAAAGCCAGTTATCAACATGGAGTTACTGCCACAAGTACTGGATGCGTTGCACAAGAAGCACAATATAAAGATAAAGGCTACCTAAGTGAAATACTGCAGTGGAATTACAATAACACTACAGGTGGAAAATATAGTTGAGGGCAGTAACGTTTTGTAATAAAGTTGTTTTTAATGCTAAACTGCTAAAGCCAGGTGTCCTGAGACTTCTTCTGGGTTTCTTACAATGCAACCCAATGTTAATCTGTGAAATTGTAATAATTTAGGCAGAACATACATATTCACTAACATTAGAAAATTTAAGAGGCTATTTTGTCTTCTAATTGTATTGGTAATGTCTAGATACTCATCAGTCTATGTATGCTATATATTTGTCTTACAATTGATCTGTCAGTCCTACAGGACTCTCACAAAAAAAATGTAATTTCTAAATTTAAGACCTTTTGAAATCCTCAAAAAGCACAAGTGGCTGTTTTAACATTTAATAACTAGACTGGATATCTTGCAGATATCTGTCATTTAATTATTCCTAGTACAAAACAAAAGATTTCAAATATCCAGAATGATATTTTTCCTATTCAAAATTGTCATTTTAGATATATTTTTTATATCTCGAATGAAAATTCTGGATATCTGCAGTGTAATTGTTACTTGGAAAAACTCCCATTTCAGATCTCTTCAATCCAATTGCTACTAGTTATACCTTTAACTATAGATAACAAAGATTAAAAACCATACCAGATATCCATGATGTGATTTTGACTATCCAAAACAAGTAAAAATGTCATTACTGATATCCACAGTTGGCAATATGATGACATCACTACCATTGTCTGGAATTATGGTGAAATGTATTTTTATAACACCTCAAATAGTCGGAAATTAGCTTTTTGTTAGGGTAAAATGTGGGACTTTTAAAATCTCTTAATTTAACAGCAAGAATATTTGATTTGTGTCTTTATGTAGTCACAGATGTCCTCAACCTAAATGAATCAGTCAGTGTCACTTTAAATGATAAGGGACACAGGTAACGTGTCTTGTGACTATAAACCAATGCATCTTATTTCCATATATGCATGTTTTTGTATTTGTTAAAACCTTATTTTGAAAACCGGACGTGGTCATACGCGTATTCTTCAGCCATTTCCGCCTAGTTTTGCTAGCTCCCCTCTATGCTAGCTCCGGATCTGAGAAGTTTAAATCATGATTTTAATGCGTTCCCTGTGAATATCAGAATGTGGGCGCGCTTCAATTTTGACCGGTTTGACTAAAGAGATGCAATTGTCGACTCCATATGTCTCCATATGTCTTTATTTGAAACTATAGCCCACGGTATCGGTGTGGCACATGCGCAGTGTAACTGGAGCTGTGGTGTTGTAGGGTGGGTACTGCACACGTGCGCTAGCAGTAAAGAGATGGTGTACGCTCAGGTGCTCAAAAAAACGAGTCGTAGTATAGTATGCCTTTTGAGGATTTCTGCATGTTCTGATATGCAAGTTTTATTTTAAATTCTACAATTTTTTCCACAGTTTTAGCAATGAAACCATACCCAACAGTACACAAGGTTGTAAGGCCGGACTAATCGGTATCATGACTCTTGTAGTCTCATTTAGCCACTTGTTAAAAACCGCCTTGGAGTCAGAATTCATGGTTTATTTCGTATTTACTGACTTATTTTATATCTTAGAACAGAATATTAAAATATCTTAAGCTTGTTTCAGGCATCAAACCAAAAAAAACATTTAAAAAAAAAAACCCATCGACTTCAAGACGAGGGAACAGGAAGTGCAAAGTTGATAACTCATTTCCAGGTGTTAGGACACTTTACTGCAGCACTCTATTATTGTGCCTCCGCCTACACTGCCAACAAAAATACGTCATTATGTTGACTGACGGAGAAGTCTATTAGAGTGATCAATACCATGGCCATCTCTGATAAGTGGTGGATCATTTTTCATAACAAAACAAAAAACAAAGTTTGCAGAACATGTGTAATAATTATTCCTTATATTTTCTGACGTTCAGTTATTTACAATGAAAAAAAATACCACAAATGATCAAATATATGGAGCGATAAAAGTTTTTGACATGGCATTGTACTTGTATCTAAAAAAACATCTAGATAGCTTTTACGTCTGGAATTAAAATTTGAAAGCATAAAAATGAATTTCTACATTATAATACACAAGTCGTGACAGGAAGATATGGTAACATTTAACAAAGTCTCCGATCTGTGCAAATACTCGTGGCTCTCACAGCTAGACAAAATGCAGACGGATAGTACTATTAGAGGACAATAGGCCTACTGCACATCAAACTGTTGTCTTTACTGTACAGGTAATACTCTCAGTCATGCATAGATTTTCCAGGATAAATGGGTTAACAAATGACAAAAAATGCAACAATGAAAAGTCACCTTGAGAATAAGGGGCAACCCTTATTATCTGAATAGGCTTCTTAAAAACACTGGTAAATTATTGTAATAAATATAGGATGTTTTAGGATTTGCAATTATCTAAAAGATTACTATCATCTAAAAAAAATAGTTGGGTCAAATAAGGCAGTTCCTTAAATGTTTCCTTCATGAAAACAGGTAATTAAAGACTGTCACAAAAACATTATAAAAGAGCGGTTGAGAGTAACAGTTACATGATTAATTTTCTCTAACGTTTTTTTCTCAATGTTGAAAGTTTAGAAGCTGACCCACGATTTGTCAACGCCCTGTCGGGTGGTAAAACAAGGTCCACAGTGTTCGGCTCCTACAGGTTTATGCATTGAGTGGCACACCCAGTTTAATGCTCCACCTCCCCTTCTCTACCAGGACCTCCACGATCACGCAAAACCCTGTTGGCTCAACTCTACTGAGGCACGAACTTCTCCTGCTCAAAGATGAGCTCAACAGCTTCTGCCACATCCTGCACAATGTGGTCTGGCTCCACCAGCCCGGGGTCAAATCGGAAGTCCCGGTGCCCGTGGAACACGGTCTCTTTGATGCAGTGACTGGCGTCGGACGGCACCTCTACGTTGGGGTTGTAGACCCCTGTGCAGACCAGGACAGACTTACAGGACGTGGCAGAGGGCAGCGCTAGCTCACTCTCCCACAGATTGTCGCTCTCCTCCTCCTGGGGCACTGCAGTGGCGGACCCCGTGGCGGAGACCATCTTAGCAACGGCTTTGGGGTTCTTTCTTGCAACTCTCTCCTCCAGGTAGCGGTTGTATAGATTGGCACCGTAGATGTCAGTCATGAGGTTGTCCCTTAAGAGTGCAGAATGGGAAGAGATTACTCAGTGTTCTGGGCAGTAGCATGAAGAGCAATAGGCCTTTTTCAAGGCATCTTGACTTGTCACAGAGGAAAAGCACAGGTGTAAATAATGAAATGAATGATGGCTGAATTCCATTTAGCTGCATTGATGTCAGGATCCTGGTATCGTGCATGCTGGCTCACTCTCACCGGAACACCTGAATAACACATGCTGCATTCAATTTGCCTGGGAAATTGGAATTACGAGCTGGGAATGAGGTCACACCCGAGTTGACTGCGTTCCAGTACAACAATTCGGAAAACTTATTGAAGTTTGCTCCGGCCAGGTTAGCCACTGTTAGCAATACCAGTTGATGACAACACACAACGACGGTATGTGTTGTGTGTACGACTGATTTAATGAGACACAGGTAAGACCGAAGTGCTAATAAACAGCACTACCACATATTACTACCGCTTTTTTTTTTTTTTTACAGTTGATGCAGCCATCTTGGATTTTGAGGTTGGTTCAAATGGAATGAAGCAACAGAGCCATCGTTAGCGTTATTAGTAACACCTGTGCTTTCCCTACACGTCAAAGCGGCTGCTGTGGAAAAAAAGGCCTCTCAATGCAGCAATGCTGTATAAACACAACAGCAACAATCGAGAGAAAAGAAAGCTGAAGTGAAACTTGCAAGTTCTGAGAGGGAGGTGTGATATGTTGACTAAAGCACGCTCGCTGAAAGAGAGGAGTTCTGTATTTTCTTATGACTTTTCTCACCAGATAATTGAGCAACACCTCAGCATTTTCTGTTTGCAAACAAGTTAAAATGTCAGCACACGCACTTTCAAGAAGTGGTTAATAAAAATCAGACATGGTCACCTCAGTTTTAGCATTCAGTACCTCTTTTCATTACTTATATGCATTACATCAGACTGTCACAAGTGAATTCTGATCATGTGGGTCTCATTACTTCCTTAGTTCCTTCCACGTACTTATTATTTGCTATTAACTACATTTAAAATACAGTGGAAAAAAAACACGGTGTCTCACCCTATAGCATAAAGGGAAGTGACGGGATGTTTCCACTGCCTCTGCATGGCCTGGCTTCTGATGAGGTACTCTGCAAAATGGTAGGTTAGCTCACTGGGTTTTCCCATGAGCGCCTCATACTTCAGGTCTTTACCGGTTATCTTCTTGTAGATGTTCTCTAGGCACACGAGAAATGTCCCATGGCCAAACCTGAACCGCATGGGATCACGGAAGACAAAGGGGAACCGTTTATAGCCACATCAAACACTGTGCTTTAGTCGCTGACGTTAATAAATGAAATCCTCCTTTTAAATTTCTCTGCGACGGCCGTGGTTACCGTGGAGATTGTGCCTCAGCCATCCACATGAGGTCCATGTTGCAGGCCAGCAGGGGGAGGTGAGGCCTCTTCTGGGTTTGGTGAACACTGCTGAGGTTCCCGTTGGTCAACAAAATGTCGACGATCAGCTGCAGGTGTGTCTCCCATCGAATCGGCTCCCCGAACAGGACCACGGCTGCGTGTGAAATGGAAAAGATCGACATCAAACATCTGTTCGTCTATTCGTCTGACAAAACCGATGCCAGTGAGCAGATAAGAGGTTCACGTTCTCACCTTCAACCTTAGGAAGGTTGCCAACAGGATTGGACTGCAATGAAAGAAGAGAAACTAAACATGTGCTGCTGTATATGACTAAAGAACAGTGTGACGTTTCTATATTACTGACATCCAATATTCTGCAACGCATTTCAATATCTCACCGGCAGTTTGGGTCTCCTGTTGTGATCCACCATGTCCAGCAACGGGAACGACTCCCTCAGCATATCAACACTGACAACGTTATTAAAGCCCACACTGAAGACAACGGCGTTAAGGACAAATTAAAGAGTATTGGGCAAACTTCATTTGAGTTGATCGCAAACAGAAAACATAACAATGCAACATTCCAGGATACTTTTTAGCAATTTCCAGGACGGGTCCCTGTCCTGACACCAGCACACACTTGTCATGAAACTTCTTAAACATTCTCAGGGGACTGTGGGACAGGATGACCTGATCTTGTGTAATCTGGAAATAGATTAAGTGTTAGAAGAGGTTAATAGCAGAGGTGACAGGGGACACGAGATTAATCAACAAAATGAAAAGAAGTGCATGTTTTGTACGTCATGAAGCCTCTTGTTTCTGCAAAACTGTGTAATAACTCACAGGTACTCCCAGAATGTGAGCGAGCTGGTCCGCTTTTGTTTGTCGGAGGCAATTCCCTGCATTTGTGACAAAAACAACCGGCACCACAAATTGTCCCCGAGAGTCGACCAGCTTCTCAAACGCCTTCTTTGCAGCAGGGATTGGCTGCTTTCCCCGGACGAGCACGCCATCAATGTCGAACAACAGCCCAAAGTTTGGCTGCGGCTGTAAAAGGGAAGGACCAAAAAAAACAAAAAAAACAGCTTAATCAGCCAAACTGGAGTAAAGGTTTCGGATTATTTTGTAGAAAAACAAGCAACACAACGTGGATAAAGGCGGGTCACTGATGCCTGATCAATATGAATACATTTAGGGAGGAAATTGTGATTCATGAAATCTGTCAAATACTTTAATGTGGCTGATAATGAAATATGAGAAAACCTGAGAATTTGTAACCATCAATAAAACCAAAGGATTCATTTCTACAGAAAATTAAATAAAATAACTGAATATTGTTCCCACACACCACAGTGTATTTCTAATAACATCTCAGTGACTCTAGAGTATGACATAATGTGGGCCCTTTATTATTTTGGCAACATACAGGTCAGCCACAGAGAATATGGTGACACAGCAGTAAATATAAATATATAAATATATGGGTATTTGGTTACATTCTTAGTATATTACAAATAATCGGAAATACATCCAAACAGACATGTAAAATTGTATTTTTCTCAATGTTTTTGCGGTTACTGGGGCTGAAAATAAAACTGGGAACACAAATGTATCCGCGATTGTTTTTCTCGTGGGGGGGTGAAGTCACAGAACGCTACATCTGCTCTTGTCCCTGATGTCAGAGCCCTGCTTTCATCTCTGCCAGCGCGTCCACAACTGAGAAAGTTACATGCAACGTTGTATGCGATATTGTATGCAACGTCTCTCTGATACACATTAACAAAAATGAAATAAAAAAAATCGAGCAGCAGCTACAAAGTATCGCCTCGTCAACAAAGCATTGTTTAAGTCTGAGCTCGAGGCTCAGCAACAGCTCGAACCGTACCTTGCTGCTTGACTGAGTTCCGCAAAACCCGCACCGAGAACCGACAATCCCAGTTTTTCGTCTGGCTTGACGGTTACTCAGGGTGCACAGGCCCCGGTAAAACGGCAGGAGTCCCGTCATCTCCTTTGTTTATCACCGGTTATTATAAAAAAAACTAAAAAATATTACAAATCAACACGACCCGGCATGAAGCGAGAGCCGGCTCGGTCCGGCCGCGCTGGCAGTTGCTGATCGGCTTGTTTTTTTTTAGGGAGGGGGGGGTAGGTTCTCACCCATAATTTGACTGGGTGAGAAACCGATGACGACACGTGAGGAGTAGGAGGGTCTTTTGCTACATCTGCAGTGCAACCCCCGCTGCCATTTTAGACTCCGAGGTGGAGCTTTCGGATTTTCTTCCACGCACGAGGACCCCGATGAACCAGCGGGAGAGTGCTGCAGAGACGCACGAGGTCACTGATCACCGCTACATGGTTTCTGATCGCCTGAGTTCACGAATAAATGCATTTCATACTGGATGTGTATCTGCGGTGCGAGGGACAACATGGATACGATTTAATTCTCCATTTTGCTCCGCGCACTTACCTTGAGGATACAGTACCCCATGCACGATGTCACGTGCAACCGTCTGCCCTCATGAGCCTCATAGTGGCAAAAAAAAGGAAAAATGCTGCAGAGAACCAGAAGGAATTTGACAGGGAAATCTGACCCCGCCCTTTTAAAATACCACAATCACCTTTCCTCTCTCACCCAACAGCCGAGCAAATGAAAGCTAGTTTTTAAAATAGTAAAGAGCGGTTACACAAATGTAACAGATGCACAGAGCTCAGGACTAATGTTGAAATACTATACTGCATATGTATTGCCACTGTGCAGTGTCTTTATACAGCAGCTCATGGTGCATTTAAGCTTTATTAAGACAGTATTAGTTAGAGTTGAGTGAGCGCTTGAGTTTGAATTAGATCATTTGAGAACATCTGCAGAAGAATAAATGAAATCACACAACAGCTTCTCCCCGTGCTCCTCCAGCTTTATTGATAGTTTAAAATTACATTTCTATTTTCTAGGACTTCAGTTGCACTTTCCTTCCGACTTAAAAACTGAGTACAAGCAAATGGTATTTATACAGTAGTCTAAGTGATATTGTACAAAAATAACATTTTGATTTCTGTGAAAACATTTCTTTCCCAAATAACTCCTAATTCTGCTGTTCTGACAACTGCTCTTGATGTTAAATTTTACCAAGGTAAAAAAAAAAAAAAATAAAATAATTCCCAACGCCATTTTGAAAGGAAAAGTCTACCTTGGACTACCAAGTGATATTTAAGTTGTAAACAGATTTCTATAAAAGAACGTGTTTCTTTTAATAACTCCAAAATTTTTTATCTTAGCAATATAACATGTGGTTTGTTACCGCCCACTTAGCTGCTTGTAGGGCTGAAATGCATCATGTTATGAACTGTTTCCATGTCATACTCTCTTGGCCAACTCATATCCCACTAAAACAAACCAAAATAACCATACATGGAAGTTCGGTTTTCATTTACTCCCTTCTTCTCTCATTTTACTGAGGCTCACGTCCACAAGCTCAGAGGTCCTATATATATTCCCATGTTTAGTCCCATTCTCCATCTCTGATGACCAGTGGCTTGGAAAGGGGGGGCTCTTTAACAAAGCATTATACATAACACCGCTACCAAACTAAAACATTTTTGTATTGAATGCAGAAAGATATTTTTTTCACCCCTTTCATTGTATTACATGTCGAGAGGCTCACTGGCCTGGGACTAGCCTCCGTTAGCCAACCTTTGGCCAGTGAAGAGGATTCAGAGAAAATAATACAACCAACCATCAATCTGAAAAAAAGGAGGGGCAACAGAGGGCACTGATTATGCGCTGCCTTCATTGGTGCAATCTTTCGCCAGGTGGCCCGCATTTCCGCAGTTGTAGCAGTTAGTCTCGCTGGTTTTAGCGCAATGCAGAGCCACGTGGCCGGTATCGCCACACCTAGGCATGACAAAAGTAGAGCGGTAATGGTTAGCTTACAGGGACATAATAAGCCTTCTGTAACGTTATACGAGTCAAAAGGATTTAAACGTCAGCACTCACCGGTAGCATTTCACCTTATCGCACATTTTCTGGATGTGACCAATCTCACCGCAGGTGTAGCACTTCTGGGTGTGTGCATGGTCACAGTCGCGGGCCATGTGGCCAGCTTTGCTGCAGATGTAGCAGAGCTGCTCCCTCTCCTTTTTGGGCTCCTTGCAGTCCCGGGAAATATGGCCACTCCTGTGGCAGTTGTAGCACGCTGAACAGAAAGAAAGAAAAGAAAAGAAAGAAGGTTGTCATAAATGTATTACCGAGTTGGTTGTGAATACGTGTTAAATCTTAAGATACTATACTGTTGGTACCATTAAAATCAAAATGTAATTACTTTCGTAATTGAGGTGTAAGAAAACACCACTTCACATCAACTAACTAGCACTGAAATGGAAGAATTAGAACTGCAATGCACACCATCCTCAGTTTGGTCACAGTCCCTGGCCATATGTCCTTGGTCTCCACACCGATAACAGAACAGCTCTGTAACAACAGACAGATTAGAATGCAAAGATGAAAAGACACGGTGTTAATTTATGGCTTCCCCCAAGTGTTTCTCCACCAATTAATACGTTCCATTGGGAGTGCTGTACCAAGACATCTGTAACCCCACACTACAGCTACGAGTGAACAACATATGTAAAGTGTAGTTAAAAAACAACCAGGTTATTGTCATAATGTTCCTAAACTATGTGTGGCCTGAATAGTAGATAGTACCCTTGCCTCGTCCCCGACTCTTGCCGCGTCCACGTGGACCACTGGAACCATTAGGGCAATGCTTGGCCCAGTGCCCTGAGCGGCCACATTGATAGCACTCACTGCTGCTCATGTCCATTTCCTAAACAAAAACATGACATATCAATTAACAAAATTCAGTTAAAAATACAGGTTTCTTTACAGGCCTATTGAAAATCACACACACAGGCTGTTATTTACAGCCGTCACAGCAAACACACAAATTATTGTATACAAGGAATTTGGATAACATGATATGCATCAGCTCTATTTTCCCAATATTGAGTAACCAAGACATGCGTGTGTACATTAGAGTTGTACGGCAATAATTGGGAAAATATGGGTGCAAGCTTGTATCGTTTTCATTTTCTACATTCTCGCTCAAAATTTAGCTTAAAACGTGGCCTCTCGAACAATTAAGCTGCTTTAGTATGCCGTTACAACCCAAATGCACACACATTACTACTCTGGTCACTAATAGCTAAATCTGTTCAGACTACTTACAAACAGACCTACTGACACAATGCGCTCGAGCTCTACAACACATATTTAGCCACTCGACAGATGTGGTGTGAAAGCATGTTGATCATTAGGTCTTACATTTTAACCAATCAGTAGCTGTTAACGCCAGTGGGCGATTGATGCTGATGTGTATGCCATGAAGAATATCCTGATTGTGGACATAGTTAAATATACAAGTTTGTCAAAGTATTTTAAGAATACAATTTTAGAAAACTTTAAGATTATAATACTTTTAGTAATTCTTCATGTCTGAGCCAGATAACAGTGCACAACTCACACCAGCATGTCTAAGCAGCATGACTAACGTTACCATGAGGGTCTAATCTATGATAATAAAAAGGTGGTAATTCTAATGTTTCAGCTGCGGTAATAAGTGGCCATCAGACTACAACTACCAGGCTAACTTACACGATTTCCTCAATGGAATCATGCTGTGATCGCCATAGGCCAAACTTCTGTTTGCTGACGGTGCTAAAGACATCAGGTCGGGAAGAATGTTGAGTTAATGAGTAACTCTTAGCAATAAGACAAAAGGATATCAAGATGAGTCCGTTTGGATTTCAATTGCTAACTTGTTGCTCCCAATTCATAAACGTGTAGTGGTCGTTCACATGTTAGCTGGGCCTCAACTTTTACATAATACCGTTTCTCTAATAAAATAAATAAAAAACGTGGGTTATAATGCATCTTCAATGGCCGGTAAAGATGTTGCCTCCACGGGAGTAATGGCAGTTGAGTTTAGACAATTTAGTCAAACGTGGTGCTTACACACCCAACGACTAATGTTTCTACAGAAATGGCCATGAAAGCATGCCGTAGGTTGTGTGCTACTAAGCTAGCTCCAGACCGTATTCCCCTCCATCACATTGTTATGATGATCGGCTAAAATAGCAACGGGCTACTAAAGATAAAATATAACTCAACTAGTTTTAAACTATGGACAATATAATCCACGTACAACGTGATTGAATCAGAATCAAATGCCAAAGGTTGATGCTACGCTAACGTTGGCCTAGTCACGTTGATTTTTTTTTTCCTGCGTGCTCGCGAGACACAGAGGCGGTGCTAGCTGGCTAGCACATGTTAGCATATCGTGACCAAGAAAAGCACGGTGCAGTCGACGACCGATCTCCATTCACTGGTAAAGAAAGTGCCGGTTCGACTGTTACTGCGATAAAGGTTCGCCGCGAAAATGTTATCGACGGCTTATTCGAGTGAACATACAGTTAAAACTATAATTTTCCCGCGCAGCGTGCACACGCTAGAGTGGTTGCGAGGAGCTACCGTTAGCAGGCCGGACTGGAAAACCCGCTGCACCGTTATCAGACCGAACCAGTGCGTTTTTCACAAAGGAAAACCGACTGGATGTTAAAAAATATATATTTTATAAGTTTTAACACCGTGTGGTTTTTCTTAAGTCTACACACATCATATATGTTGGTTAAATCTATTTTTAATGCTTACCTCACTGGCTACCTTAGCTGTGTCAGTGTTTACGCCTCCTTCTTTGCGCTACATGCGGTGTGAACAGGAGTTCCTGAATTGTCATTCACAGTATCCAGTAGAAAAAACCCGGGCACTCATTGGTCACAGACTCTGCAAGCAACCAATCAAACACGAGGATGTCTGGACACCGCCTCTATGAATCAGCCAATCAATGGGCACAGAATAGGCCTTTTCCTTAAATCGACTGGCCTTGTTTTTCCCACTTCTTTAAAACATCAGGGGATGTTATATACTTATACTTCAACTGGTATCACCACTTCAACTATAAATAGTAATATTATTAATAATAATTCATAGCATGGTTTAAAAAATAATAAGAAAATGGGATATGTAAGAGACACAAGATGGATAAAGTATATAAAATGCAGACTATTTATCACATTTTTTGTGATTGTAATGTTCAGTGACCATGTTCCTCTTGCTTTCCCAATACTTACAGTTTTATTTAATGAACTCAATGGCATGTGTGAGAAGTAGCTTTGTTTACAGAATCACTTAAATTCCCCGTATAGAGATATCTGTATATGATTCTAAATAAACACTTCCACTGTTACGGTTCAAATTAGCCAGGCAGATGAAAATGTTGATGTGAATTTTAAGTAACAAGCAACACCACCATTTGTATTATTATTAATTTAATACAAGGCACAAATCACCGGTGATGAGGGCAGTATTTTGATAAATAATAATTGAATAAATAATAAGTATATTTGAAACACTGAAGTATTTCTTTTTTAAGCAATTTTGTACTAATTAAAACACCTGAAATTACCATTAGTTAGGCTTAGTTTGTTTGTGAATGGCCCCAAAGCTAAACTGATTAAATAAACCTGAAACAAAAATAAGAATCTAGAATTGGAATGACAGTGTAAATCCATAATAAGACAAATCTAACAAAAGGTTTGTGTGTGTTTCAGACTGTGTAACGCTGATGCAGACACTTCTCGGAGTCCTGATTGCATCATATTTTGAATTCAAGTGGACAGATAGAGACAATATTCTCTGGGAGTTGCAAGCGTCTCAGCTAACTGGCCTGAGTGCTCAGTCAGATCAATAAGTGGGAAAGATGCGTTTATCTCAGTCTTAAGGTGGATTTGTTGGTAACGCTCTGAGATGGCGATTATTATTTCGTGTGGTCTTCACTCTGCAGCTCAGAACCTTTCATACAAAGCAGGGGGAAATATCCCAACCTGTGGTGCACATTGTTGAGTCGATTAAAAGATGTACCACCAATATTATCCCCCTCTTACTGAAACACAGTGGTGCTGCTGCATGTGTAGTGGAGTACCTTAAAACGCCCCACGATGACAAAGCCCTGCCTTCATCTTCACAGAAACAGTATTTTGGCATTCAGTTATTTGTTAGATAGAATATCTGTTAGGGGGGGGGGGGGGGGGGGGGCCCTTTTCAAAAAAAAAGTGTAAAGTTAGACGGGTAGAATGAAAGTTAAAAGAATAATTTAATTCTGATTTAGATCTCTAGCTGAAATTGTCTGCTGCTGCTGCTGCTGCTTTATGGAAACACTGTATGCTGAACCCATCATCAGGACGTGTTGACCGGGATGTTGATGAAGCAGTTTTCATTCTCAGATGGTGTTGACTCCAGCTGGCTGAAGGGACCTATGAGCCGTCTGTAATTAGGGGACCTCAGGGGACCACGATGCTACACGGAGATGGTGAACACCTGGTGAGTGTAGAGGGCTTCACGCTGTGCCTGTTTCAGGGCCAGTTTGGTAAAGAATAAGAAGCTGTGTTCTTGGCTGTCAAAAGCTTATGTTTAAGTCTGATTTCATGTTTGAAACCATTTCAAATTCATATAAACTAAAGAATGATGCATTCATGTCGATTTAAAAAACAACAACCACAGCTTTAATACAGATTGACCCTTTTTCTGGAGTCTGTAAGTGGATGTGTGAAATCTAACATGACTATCAGGAAGGCTTGGCCACCACGCTGCACTGCCCTCACATCTCCAGATGGTGGTGCACTAGGAGTTAGTAAGGGATTACTCCTTTTCTCCAAACCGGTAGTGAGACGATTTTTTACTTTTCAGAAGATACTGTTGCAACTTTTATTTTAACCAATCTGCATTAAAATATATACTTGAATGTTTCACACGCATTAGCCTGTGCGTGGAAAATAACCAGTATATGAGCTTACCGGTGACGTAGTGGCCACAGGAAAACCACTTTAAACATACTTTACACGTAAAACATGTCGAATATAATCCACCACTTTAAAACACGTACAGTTCATTTTGAATAAGCAAAAACTAGTGTTTCGCCGAAGTGGGAGGGATTAAATGTGAGCTATATGCGCAGTGTGAGTGATTCTTGCAACTCTTGTTGTGACTGAGAGGTCCTGTTTCAATCACTGGCGTCAGACGGACGCACGACACCAACTCAAACCTTTTCACCTTCTCCCGAACAACGTCACAATATTGATTGGAGAGAGAGAAAAAAAGAAAGTGGTGGCGAGGTGGCACCGAGCAACTTATTGGAGTTTTAATTTGAAAGTGCCTCACGAGGCTTTACGAATATCCCCTTTTGCCGTGTGTCACTTTTGAGGGTCCGACGGATTTTTTTTCACATTCAGCACGACTGGGAGATAAAAAAAAAAAACTTTTCCTGTATGATATATGTGGTGGCTCGTAAACAGAGACCCGCCTATGACCTTCACGTCTTCACATTATTGCTACATTTACCGGATCCGCCATTATTTGATACATTCACACGCGGTCTGCAACAATTCCGACTCTTTTTTTTTTTTTTTTCTCCCGTTTTTCTTTGAATGCGTTGCAAATATGATGATGTCACCGACGCCACTTTTTCCTGAAGTTATGGCGGAGCACAACTTTTCTAACTTCTCTTGGTAAGCACACACACACACACACACACACACACAGCTTGCTGGCTCTTTCCGTCGCTACTCACTGAAAAGAAAAAGTTTTTTTTTTTTGTAAATGCGAACTACAAACTGGTGAAGTGGCTTCTCCGCGAGCCGCATGACCGCGACATGCATCGCTCGAACAAGTGAGATTTGAATGGAGGGTGAGTAGCGCTGGGAAGTTTTAACCGCAAGAGTTCCCCTCTTTCAGGGGCCTACAGGCACATTTCACAGCGATAACTGGACCTACCAGGCCTTATACCAATACACAAAACACACACGTAGCTACTAATGGCTGCTGTAGTTGTGTGAAATCGTGCACGCGTCTCAACAGTGAGGCTTTTACTAGCAGGCCTGTGTTTTAGCAAGAAGTTGGATTTAATTAGAAGTCAATGAAGGCGTTTTAAAAGCCAGTTTAGCGGGCCTCCCTCTCTAACTCTCCCCAAAAATGTGCTAACTTGCTGACACGGATCTCACCTACATTTTAAGGAAGCCTTCAGAAACTGCTAAAGCTGACTGACCTGTTATGTGGACCAGATCTAGTCTAAATATTCTGGACTTCTTTTTTTTTGGGCTCTACTGAAACTCCTTTTTTTTTTTTCTATTTTTATGGATCGATCACAGCACTTGTGAACACAATTCCCGCAGCGTGGTGGGTTAGGGTGGAGGAACCACAATCATCCATAAAGTTCCTGCTTTTTCTCGGTGCTCTTGACACACCGGTATGTCTGATGTGACAGCTAACCAGTAAACCTGCAGTCAATCATCTCCTCGGTGTAACAGGCCTTTTGTGTAGACACACCAGAGGTAATTGGGAGTGTTGCAGAGAAAGTATTCACACTGAAAAGGAACAATCTGTGAAACGTCTATACATATAATATATATATTCTATGTACCAGAAGCTTCACTGATTATTTATATTGGAAAACAAAGCAGAAGAGGAAACTTGTTTGTTTCTGATGGGTAGTTCCAACTTGGGTTATTGTGTTTTTTTTTTTTTCAAGCCACATTGACAAATGACCTGGTTTTTCAAGAATCACAGATGTTTTTATTAACTTTACCAGTATTATTATAGTAACATATTCTTTTCTATCCATCTATCTAATTAGACCTTTTTTATGTGAATCTTTCTAATGTCTTTTATTGTTTGTTACAAGCTGCTGAGTTTTAGTTATCTACTGCCGGACCATGCAGAAGAAGAAAAAGAGTGTGTTGAAAGCCTGTACTGTAAATAACAGGACTGACCTCGGTGGTGGTCACAGATTCTCCTGGTCTGAGTGGATTTGTTTGTCTACATCCACTATATTTTCGAGCCCAGAAGTTAATAAGCACATAGGACCACTAAACGGGTCAGAACATACACGTTCTTTCTCTTTTCCTGTCACACCTCTGAAAAGCTTTTGCGACTGACACAACCCTGAAACGGACCTAATCACGCCGTCGTGCAAGAGGAGGGTTGGTTGCACCCGGGGCAGATTATGTTTAGAGATTGCGTCAAACGAGTTCTCGATGCCACAACCCAAACCTATCTTTTGTTCTTCCTGTCTGTAAAAAAGCTTTCACCGTTGTGACTGACCACAGCTGCTTTTTTTTTTTTTTTTTTTTTTTTTTTTAAAAGCCACTTTTCAAAACTGCAAGTTAGATTTTGGAATATCTACTTAAATTCAGGATGATGAGGAAAAGGACTTAAATACTTTTTTCATATGAAAAACATTCTCATTTTGCAGACCAGTCTTTCCTTTTTACCCCGAGTCTGCACACCACCAATATCCTTACAAAGAAGACAGAGAACTGAAGTGACATCGATTAGGTAGTCATCTTTTCTTTTCTTTTTTTCCAGACCATTGAGTGCACTTGGCTTTACTAATGGAGCACCTCCAGGGAGCGTGGAAGACCCTGAGCAACGGCTTCGGGATGAAGGACTCTGCATTCGAGGGCCCGTGCGTCTCTCCGACCTTGGTCCAGGGCTTTTCCTGCCAGCGTCGCTCCTCCGATGATGGCAAGATGCCCGAATCCAAGACTATCAGCACGATCCGCGTCTACCTCCCGAACCAGCAGCGCACTGTGGTGAGTTGATTTTTAAAACAATATTTTCCTGCAGGTAGAAGACAGCATACTGATTTCCAGACTTCCAGTAAAGCTGCAGAAATACTGCACTAGTACAGTTAACTATAGGTATATGGAGCTACGTACTCTCAGGCAGATGAGAGGAATTAATCCTTTTTTTTCTTTGTCCCTCAGGTAAACGTACGACCAGGTATGACTCTGTACAGTTGCCTGATTAAAGCATTAAAGGTGAGAGGTCTGCAGCCTCAGTGCTGTGCCGTCTTCAGGCTGCATCCAGGACAGAGGAGGTGAGCTCAGGACTGTTTGACAGATTCACACACCACATTCTCACCTGCCGCGGTTACTGCGCTTGCTTTGATATCCTGTCACCTGAATTCCTTTTGTCCCTTTCTTTTTGTTAACAGTAAAAAATCGCGGATGGATTGGAACACCGACTCCACCTCCCTGATTGGAGAAGAGCTGTTGGTGGAGGTTTTAGATCACGTTCCTTTGACCACGCATAATTTTGTGAGTACCCGACGCGTTTGCCACGTCCTCACACTCGAGTCTCCGTAAAAAGCGTCGCCGCTAAAGAAACATTTTGTGTCATTTTTCTTTTTTTTTCCTGTCATTTTCAGGTTCGCAAGACGTATCTGAAACTGGCGTTCTGCGATATTTGCCAGAAGTTTCTTTTGAATGGTTTCCGTTGCCAAACGTGCGGCTACAAGTTCCACGAGCATTGTAGCACCAAAGTGCCCACCATGTGTGTGGACTGGAGCAATATCAGACAACTCCTGTAAGTGTAATGCTTTAAAAGACAAAAGATAATAATATAACAATCCATGTCATTAGCATTGATGAGATGAGACAACCATTGTCGTCTCAAGCAGTCGGCTGTTATTTGATGAAGCGCGTACACATTCCCCCGCTCTGTAAGATACAAGAGGTCCCCTCTCTGTCTTCAGGTTGTGTCCGACTCCCGGTGAGAGCGGCGCCCCGTCGCTGCCCCCGCTGACGTCCCGGCGAATGAGAGAATCCTTGACGCGGTTTCCGAGGTGAGGCAAAGTTTTTATGTTTGATCAGTCTGTAACTCGTCCGTTATTATTGAATACTATACCCACAGTGGTGCCCTCAAGATCAAATGCCTCACATTGTCGGGTGCAAATGATACATGTACAAATGACACTGCATTGAGTTGAGCCCTCTTCTTTTGCGACATTTCTTCTCTTTTAGCCCTGTGGAGGTTTCTTGTAAACAAACAAAAGTCATGTTTACATTTTGCGTTGCTCGCCAAAATGCAGTGTGTATCCTTGAGCTCCAACAAATGTGTAAAATGTGTTTCCGTCCACATAAAACATCTGCAAAGCAGTATTTCTTTTTGTTTTTTAAAGGGACATCTCACCCCCAAAAAAAAACACATTTTCCCTCTTACCTGTATCAATCTAGATTGTTTTGCTGTGAGATGCCTAGTTTTGGAGATATTGGCCATAGAGTTGTCTGCCTTCTTGTGACTCTATGACGCTCTGCTTGTGGTGCTCAAAGAACCAAAAACTCATCAGCAGTGTCTCTTTCCAGAAATCCTGGCCCGGTTACACACGATAAACCACAGAGCTCGTTGTGAGCGGTTTCATGTAGAAACTATTTGTTGAAAGAAAATAGTTCCTGCATGAAACTGCTCCATTTTTAATTGTTTACATCCACAACTACTTGCTAGCAGTCTTCTTCTTCTTCCTCCCTGTCTTTGCTGGTGCGTTGCTGCATAGAGGGATTGAGAGCAGTAACGCACCGCAACATGAGCATACTGTAAATAGGTGGCGATACATTGGCAGGTTTAGGCAGCCGTGACCATTGTCCTTGTCAGACTGCAAAACAGTCGTAGTTCTGATGTGTGGAGTATCGTAATCCGAACAGAATTAAACCGTGTTTTGAATGACGTCCTCGGCTTTGTGGGGGCTTAGCCGTCCAAGTGCTGATGTAACGAGGGGCGTGAAAAGAGCCTGTTGTTTCAGGAGCACTTAAAATGGTTAAAAAGCACTCTGAGCTGCCAAATTAGCGCTCACAAAGTATGAAGTTGTTCCACGCAGAGCGATCTCAAATGCTCTTTTGAAACACGGTCCTGTATTGCCAGAAGAGGGATTGTTCTCAAGGAGTGCCCTCCGTGGTCATAACTGTTTAATATGATCTCAGTTTAAACGCGTCATTGGGCTCCCGCTGTCCCCGTTTCAACCAGCAGCCGCAGTGCAGCTATGAATCCAGATGTGCACGTTTTTTATTATATTTGCACCAGATTAGATTTTGTGCTTGAAAATGTAAACATCTCAAGTCGCGCTAACATTTTGGATTGTTTGCAGATTAACAAATTTGGCTGGTGAGTTTTGTAGTCTTCAGCTGAGCCAACACAAGATCTTGGCAAACACCAAGAGCGAAATACCTCGACAGTGTCAAGTTAGCCAAAAAATGGGATAAGGACAAGGCCACATTGGAATTAAACAATAACTACTTCCTCACAGTTTTACTTTTTGTTTTCCTGCATGTGTGGTTTGCAGTCTGTTGAGGGCACAACATAAACAGATGATGCATGAACGGGGAAAGTGAGAGAGTTAATGACCTCCGCCACACCCAACGGCAGTCCAGTTTTAAAGAAGTCACGTATTTCACTGTTTGCATTTCTGTCAAATGCAGTGACGCAATGATCTTTTGTCCACGTTCGCCCTCACAGCTCGGCACACCGGTATTCCACCCCTCATGCCTTCAACTACACCGCGCCGTACACGCCCACGGGCGGCTGGCTCTCCCAGAGGCAGCGCTCCACTTCCACGCCCAACGTCCACATGGTTAGCACCACCCTGCCCGTAGACTGCAGCATGATCGAGGTAACTACACACCAGCCCCCTTGGGTACTTCTGTAAGGTTCAAGCCACTCCTAAAATATCCCCCTGCTCTGAGAGAGGGATCTTGCCCTCCCATGTACAGCTCAGGCATTCCAAATATCTCTTGGCTGTGCTTCTTTCTACCTCTTATCTAACTCTGCGTTAAGTTATCCACCTGGACAGGGTTGAGCCGGTTTTGTCTTATTCCCCTGATGGCGTGTCATTTTAGCGATGTTTGTACATTTGCGACACTTGACTTCCCCCTGTTCACTTCTAGTTTCTGCTTTTTCACTGCCCAGGTTCTTGCATAATCGGCTCACTAGTTTTGCATGCCTTGCAGAATATCTTCTCTCTATTCTGTCCAGGTAGTAACCTGGGCATCACTTTCATCATCCTCCCTTTCCTTACTTTCCTTCACTGTGTCCCTCTCCCTCCTGTTCTCCTCCCTGGCCTGTTGTATTGTGAGTAGCTAGACTGCCTGAATGCCTCCCCCAGCTCCTGGTGCCACAGATTCTGGCTGAAGAGGAAAGTAGGTATTGTGCACTTCTCCCAGTCTTTTGTTGAGGCCTCACCCGAGAGTCCCGAAAAGGTTAGAAAGCAGAGCGTTCTGTGTGCGGTTTGAATGGCATGCGTTGCAAACAGGCTATCTGCATTTCACATCTTCAGTACTGAAGTCAAACCACAGCGTGCGGTTTATTTATTTGTTTTTTGTCTCTCTAGGATGCAATGCGTGATCACGACTCGGGTAAGTGCTTGCTCTGCATTTGGTCAGATTCACATCACACTTCCTCCCTTCAGCACAAATCTCCCCCGTACTGATTGTTAATTCATTTAAATCAAATAAATGTTCATATTCAAACTTTTCTTTATCAACTGACTGTCTAGTTGTCCCCTTCTCCCTCCAAAATGGAAATTTCTCATTCTGGACATTGAGCTCTTCCAATAACATTCAATAGACATTAGAAATAGATGAGCAGTAGAGGTGCTATTTGCCTTTTTCTAGCGTTGCCTGAATGCCTAGAGACTCTTGTACGTCTCATTTAGTGGCATTCTAAGGTGGTGAGGTTTTACCCACCTGACACACTATATAATCCTCTACATAGAACTCCCAGTGCAGTGAGTAATGCATTCTTTTTTTGCACGCCAAACCGAAGTCCTCCATCCTAAATTGCTGCCTTCTTCTCTCTGCTTTCCTGAAGGGGGGAGTTCCCCCAGCCAGAGCCCCACAGGCTGGTCCCAGTCCAAAGCGCCTGCACCCGCCCATCGAGAGAGGGCCCCGTCCTTCAATACTCAGGAGAAAAATAAAATCGTAAGTCCCATGTCTCGTCTCCTATACTGGTTTTAAAAAGTATCGACTCATCACTTTACTTGTTTTACAAAGTATTCGCTACATTTCGGAAAGTAAGTTTTGTTATTTGAGTAAACAATTCCTCAGGTCACAGTTACTTACAGTTACACATTTTTATTGTCACCCACCAATCACTGAGCGTGTGTGCAACACACCTGGCACTAAACCGTTTCTGGGTCTTGATTTCTGTTCCTGCAGAGGCCTCGGGACAAGCGGGACTCGAGCTACTACTGGGAGATCGAGGCCAGCGAGGTGTATCTGAACTCCCGCATCGGTTCAGGCTCATTTGGGACTGTGTACAAAGGGAAATGGCATGGTAGGAATGCATTTCAGACGGGGCAGGGCACATGCAGGTGCAACCCCTAGGACTTTCACTGTGGGTCAAGTAGCCAAAAACATACTCAAGTAGAAGTAAAAGTAGTCACCAAAATAGCTACTTGAGTAAGAGTACAAAAGTATGTACTTCACTCCAGTATAGATGTCTTAAGTCCTAGTTCCCATCACAGACACCCGCAGGTCACATCCAGGTCTCTCTGATCACATGAGGACTGAGATTAGAGATTAGAGAAGTTGACAACGGTCTCTTATCCTTCTGAAAAATGTCTCGTATCAGATGACCCATTTAGGATAATTGGAGGATAATGTTTCATCATTATCAGCCCATTAACTACAGGTGTGTCACTTCTTCATTTTGACCTGAGGAAGACCATCTGTGGATGAAACATCAGTTATGTCCACATGAAATACAAGCAATATATCTTTTTTTTGTTCATAATTTGTACTTTACAGTCTCTCTTCATCAGGCTACACTAATGAGCATGACTAGTGGAGTACACGCCACTTGAATATTGACATTACCACAGAATGTAGTAGTTTTGAAGTATGATGTACTGCGTGTTTATGATATTAAACTTCATCTAATATTAGCTGCTGCTTAACATTAGGGGGATGTTCACATAATGCGTCTGAAAACGCATGGGAGACGCTCTCATCCTCCCCCGCTGTAGCTTCAGCCATGCAGCTTTGAACAGAGAGTCATGTGGAGGCGTGGCTTCGGTAGCGCCAGCAGACCTGGGACCAGTTGGCCTCGCAAAGCCAGACCTCCACAGTGCTGTGTCAGCCCTGGAAGAGACGAGCTGACCACCTGCCTCTTAACGCATCATGATTGAGTCAAATAGTAAATAAAGTAGCATGATAAATGCATCCTAACTTAATAGAATGAAAGTAATCTAAAAATCTTCTAAAGTAACAACTGTAAAAGTATGCTGCATTAAAACTACTTTGACAAGTACAATCTACTAAGCAAAGTCACTTAAATACATGTAAGAGTAAATCTAACTAGCTACTACCCACCTGTCTTCATACTAAGCACTTTCAAATACGTTACCTGACACGTGAAATGGTGGGAAATGGCATCTCAGGTGAGCTCACAGTGGATCTTTATGGGTCAAAGCTGACTGAGTATTTTTTTGTTTTAGGTGATGTCGCAGTTAAAATTTTAAAAGTGACTGACCCCACGCCAGAGCAGTTTCAGGCATTCAGGAATGAAGTGGCAGTCTTGAGGTAAGAAATGGCATCAATAGTGTTTTTTTTCAGTTGTTTTAGCAATTTGTTGAGTTCCTTGGTGAATCATCTTCTTTGCTAAGTTTGACCGTATCTTCGTTTTTTGGCGATTTCCTCTTCCCCCTCTTGCCTCTGATCGCAGGAAGACGCGACATGTCAACATCCTGTTGTTCATGGGCTACATGACAAAGGACAACCTGGCCATTGTGACCCAGTGGTGTGAAGGCAGCAGCCTCTACAAACACCTTCACGTCCTGGAGACAAACTTAAAGATCATCCAGCTCATCGACATCGCCCGGCAGACGGCTCAGGGCATGGAGTGAGTCCGAACAAACGGAGATTTTCTCATGATAAACTAAATTGATTGGAACCGAGATGTCTGTTAATAATCTTATTTGTTTCCTTCTCATTTTTTAGCTATCTGCATGCAAAGAACATCATTCATCGGGACATGAAATCCAACAGTATCCTTTCTATCGGCTGTCAGTATGTGAAAGACGAAAGCACTTTAATCCTCGTGCTCGTCAGGATCTGTGTTCCCTCAGTGTGCTTTGGCTGTGATTCCTTGACGGCAACGCAGACATCTTCTTGCACGAAGGGCTGACGGTGAAAATCGGGGACTTTGGTCTGGCAACGGTGAAGGCCAGATGGAGCGGCTCGACTCAGGTGGAGCAGCCTTCCGGATCCATCCTCTGGATGGTGAGTAACACAGCTTTGATTTCACTAAAGCAAATACGACGAGTATGTTCAAGACATGAAATGACAGAAAACAGGAAATGTAATCCTTTTCTCGTCTGTATGTCCACAGGCTCCCGAGGTTATCCGGATGCAGGACAACAACCCCTACAGCTTCCAGTCCGATGTCTATTCCTATGGAATTGTTCTCTTCGAACTCTTGACGGGAGAGCTCCCGTACTCCCTGATAGCAACCAGAGATCAGGTAGTCTCTGACAGATCAGTCTCTCCATTAGTTTCCCATTCAAATATGTAATGCACGTTTTGGAGTGTACCATTAGAAACGCTGTACGGAAACAGCGAAATTCAATAAAACTCCCTCAATTGTGGGGAGTGAATGCTAGCTTGAGTTGGATTTTGCTTCAGTTGTAAAATAGTTGATGTGCTAAAGGGATTGTGGGAACGCCTTTGCCGAATCAATTCCGACGTAGGAAATCTTTAACTCGCATGACTGATCAGCTGTTTCTGCTGTCGGGGTCCTATTCAGATATTCCCATAACGTGCAAATGCTCGTCTTCGACTCCGGACAACATGAAACAAGGCCAACGCTAGCTGACACGAAAGAGCAATTAAAACTTAGCCCAAGTCGAAACAAATCGCTGAAGCCCTCGCTCCATGTTTCTCTCGTACATGAGGCCGAGCTGGCAGTTGGCAAACTCTACTTCTTCAGCTCTGTTTACTGGAGGATTACAGCCATGCGTAGTCTGTAGCGCCAACTTCTGACCAAACCACGCTGTAGCCAAGTTTATTCGCTCAAAACCAGGTGATGGAAATGCGCCTAATTCCCATTTATTTTTTTTATATTTCAAAAGGAAACACAACGGTGCATATAGGTGACATTTGTGTTTGGCATCATCAATTTGTGCAAACTTGCAAGTTAGGCTGCAGGTTTTTGCTCCTTTGTTAGACCCGGTCGTGTAAAACAGAGAAGTAAGCCACAGTCGAGACAAGTGCCTGAGCTCTAGTCCTCGCCCGGGTCCCGGTGACGGGCTGCGAGCCGGTGGTGGAAAGACATTGGATTGCTGACTGAAGGGGGTTGTGGAGCTGGCCGAAGGCCCAATACGGAACAGAGGCGGGCGTCCTGGAGCCACTAGCCTAATTTTAGACCCCGTAACACAACCCTGTTTGTGTGTAAGAAAAGGGGTGCATGTGCGTGTCTGCGTTTCTTTTTTTTTTCGTCCTCGCGCAGGCCACGAGACCTGGTCTGGATCCTGTCTGGCTCCTTGTTCGGTTCTGTTTACTGTGTCTGAATTCAAAATAGGCTGAAGTCGCTGTACAAAGTGTGCCCGTTAACACCTCTATGACCCACCGCCATACTTTGCAAGCACATAGAGTCCTCCTACGATCCCTTTATCTCTGCAGCATCACTCATGCCCTCACAAAGGCTCCAGTGTCTTAGATGTCTTGTCACCTTCAACTCACTGGCTGTGTTTCTAAAAATATCCCAGAGATGGACTGCTGATTTTAGGATTCATCAGGCGTGCCTTACTGTCGCACTGATTTGGATCAATAGTTCAACTCTTAAGTATTTTCAAATGTACCACACACACACACACACACACACACTCCCTCCCTCTGTCTCATCTGCTGTCTGTGACTCCCTCCTCTCAGATAATCTTCATGGTGGGAAGAGGCTATTTGTCCCCAGACCTCAGTAAGCTCTACAAAAACTGCCCCAAAGCCATGAAAAGGTTGGTGGCCGACTGCATCAAGAAGTCCAAAGACGAGAGGCCCCTCTTCCCTCAGGTGAAGCACCGTCTACTTGTCGACTTAAAGCTGAGTGTTTTTCTTTAATTCATCTTTACTTTTTCATGTCTTTTATGCATTTTTTATTTATTTTTTTTTTTCAGATCTTGTCCTCCATTGAGCTTCTCCAGCACGCCCTGCCTAAGATTAACCGCAGTGCCTCAGAACCGTCCCTGCACAGAGCCTCTCACACTGAGGATATCAATGCCTGTACTCTGACCTCCACCAGACTGCCGGTTTTCTAGAGGCTCAGACAGCACACCTCCTCCTCTCCTCACATTTCCCCCTCCTCCTCTTTTGAAATATCCAAAATAGTCCCAAATACTCAGGACGCCCCAAATTCTCTACATACAGATGCAAATGTAGACTTAGACATGTACACGCGATCATACGTAAACCCGCGCTAACCAATAGAATACGTGAGGAGAGGGGGGGAAGTGCATCTGAGAGCTACTTTTGGAAGGAAGCGAGTGATTGCAGTGGGATGAACACATGAAGAGGCGGGGCAAAAGATACATGGAGGCGGTGCCGTGCTTATCACTGCACATATTAAGAAGTATGCAGAGGCTCCACGGCGGCAATGCATTTGGTAAAATTTGTAAATACATGCACGCACACCTACCTAAGACAACGAGGAAATTGACACTGAAGGAAGCTTAAGAGGAAGACTTGGGTTCGGCAACGTGAAGCACACCCTTTTATCTGGCCGTCCTGGGTTCTGATGAAGAGGACCTTTTTTTTTTTTTTTTAAAAGCTTATATGCCTTAAGAGGAAACAAAGCCTGGACTAAGATCCCGCACAGTTCACCTCTATCACAAACAAAGCCGTCGGATGTAGTCCATTTAGTTGCACAGTAGTAGTTGATTTTGCATTGTCTTAAATGATAATGGCGTAGATATGGGAAGTTGTTGTCATTTTTTTTTTTTTTTTTTGTCCTTTCTTCTTTAATTGTCTTTATTTTTTGGGGTCATTTTGGAGGACTTCTAGCCTGTTGGACAGCGAGCACGAGTGATGACGGAGAAAATTGAATTTGCACATTTTTAGCAAACGCAAAGGTTATGTTTCAACAGTCTCCACATTGGCTTCAGAGCTCTGAGTAAACGATCCGTCGATGCCCACACGTCCTCACCATGGGTATAGGCTGTCACCAGCTGGACATTTGGCGGTTGTCTTAAATGTTTAAAATGATTTGGAAACTAATTTGTATTTGTTGTCTTTGATGTCTCTTTCAGGAGGTTAAACGTGTTATTGTGTACTTGGTGAGAGAGTTGTCTATTCAATATTTTAATAAAATTAAGTTAAATTCTTTTGCCAAAGACGTTTGTTATATTTTCCTGCTTCTTATTATATTATGCAGTAGACATCAGATTATGTTGCTTCTCTTCTTGTTCACTAATGCTGTAAAATCCCACACAGGGCATCCAGTCCAGACACGCCACCGGGGGATTCTACTGCTGGCTGATGCTGCTGTGCACTGCACCGCCACTGGCAGGCTCAGTGGAACAAGAATCACTCTGCAAGGGAGGGACACGTGGTGGAAAGGGAGGACGGTTATATTTTGTTTTAGCATAAACATGCAACGTGTAGGTCCTGCTGGACTGAACCACTTGACTTGGTTCAGTCCCAAGTGCAAATTTATAGTAAATATGGGAATATTTGCTGTGATCTAAATATGGGGATAAGTTTAATGTTCATGGCCCCGGCTATCACTTCTCAAAAAGCCTCATCACGGGGTAAAATAGACCTGATGTCACCAAAAGTGGAGCAATGTAATGAGAGCATAGCCACCGCCTGACCACAAGCTGTCTATTTTTACAATGGTTTTGCTATATGTGTTTATCTGTTCTATTTCTGCATTCTGACAAACCTCACAGGCTGGCAAAAATGAAACCAACGGAGCCCAAACGTCCTCCACCCTGACCTGCTGTAGCTCCATCTAGTGGGGGTTCCTCCATATGGGGGTCAGCCTTCATTCAGTATACTGTATAAGACCTGCATAATATTTAAGAAACACCTCAACGTGCTGCATCCTCAACATTCAAATCCTTAGTTAAGTACAAAAGTAGAATTGGCTAAATGTACTTAACATTTCAGAAGTAAAAGTACTCTTTCTGCAGAAGACTGTCCCCCTGAAAGAAGCATTTCACTGTTTGAACAACTTTACAGACAGTTCTGTAGTTTAGTCCAGCGGTTCTCAATCTAGGGCTCAGGCCCCTCTAAATGATCACAAGATACATCTGAGGGGTCGTCAGAGGAGAAATATACATATTTATACATAGACATATATATATGTCTATATATATGATCTATATACAGTATGTGTGTATGTATATATATGTATACTAATTATGAATCTTATGGAACTTTAAAGTTGTTTAATTTCCAGGGAAAATGTATTGTGAATTAAAAAGAACTGAAGTTTCTCTCACTTCACTGGACAGCAACGCACATCAGACGATGTGGATTAAAAGGGACAGACATTTTCTACACGAATGCAATTTGACAAAGACAACATCCGGATGTTGTGCACCGATCTATGAAAGGAGTCCAATCAATTTAATAGTGTCTGCCAAGACGGCTGCTTGCCTCTCTCTGTAATGGCCTCCAACTTTATCTGGCAATAAAAACCCATCATTTTTATGTGAGTTTTACATTCTATTTGACTGACAGAAGGCTGCATCTTTATTCATCATGCTGTAACTGCAACCTGCACTACAACGTACATGCGTTGTGATCGTCATTCAACTGGTTTCATCAATTCTGTGACGAACTAAAGGCCCACTGCTGCAGCTCAAGTGACCAATTATGTAACCAAAATAACACAGATATGTATTGTATGTAGGCCCACTGTGCTTCAACTCTACCAGCAGATGGCAGCCAGAAGCTCTGTATGTCTACTGCGTTGTTTACAGAAATCATCTATGAAGGCAGTAGTGCTGATGTATTTTCCATTTTAAAACAGTGAACGCAGTGAGTATTAAAAATAAACCATGTTTTGTTATATAATGTGTTATTTGAGAGTCAATGATGCCCGTGTTCATTGAATCTGCACCTTTACATTCTCCCCCTGATTATGGGATGGAGGTTCTTCAGCAGATGGTCAGTGCGGCGAGCATCCACAGGGCCTGAGTTCTTCATGTTGCGCAGCAGCTTGACGGGTAGCTGGGAGGAGTCTAGACGGAAGCTCCTCCGCTGGAGCTTCAGGGCCGGAAGTGTGACTCCTCTGAGTTCTTCTGAGGCTTTTTACTGCCACCAGGCCACGTCAGTGTGGTTTATTATGAGGAGGGGGGGGAAACCTCAGCACCATCTGGAGGCCTCACGAATACGGAAATATGAACATATTCTATCTATGGGAGATGTTTGCAGAGGTCGGTTTTAATGCAAACAGCTTGAATTTGCACAATAATATATGTGCTAGTCTGATTTGTCGTCAAGCTCCAGTATCTCAGACTTGCTCAGCATCCCATCAGCACATAGAAGGGTCTCTGCAGCCATGACTCATGATTCATCTGTAGACAGAAAGTGTAGCAGCAGTGGCTGTCTGGGGGACAGGGCCGGAAAAAAATCAAGGACATCAACACGCAGAAGGTTTTCTAGCGTCTAGAGCAGCTCCCATGGCACTGCATCGTCTTCAGTTCGGTCCCTGAGGTCTCTTCCTTTTTATAAATGTTTTTTATTGAGAGTTTTTCCTTTTCTGAAGCGAGGGTCCAAGGACAGAGGATGTTGTATGCTGTACAGATTGTAAAGCCCCCTGAGGCCAATTTCTGATATTGGGCTATACAAACAAAACTGAATTGAACGATTTATTGAATTGTGTCTTCTTAATTTTAAGGCCACCCTAGAGGGCACTTAATTATATTCTATCTACCACAGGGGCATCCAAGGGGGCACTCTCAGCTTTTGTTACAAACACATAAGGGGTCAACCCTCATCCCTTTTAATTCCGCTCAACACAAACAAAGCAGTGGGAAGACATTATCACAATACAGATATCACTTCATGCATTGGAAGCAGAGTGTGTATGATCTGTTAGGAGTGGCCTCCTCCCTTCACTGCATATACAACTTTTAACATTCTTGAACACAAGAGTTTCCTTAAGAAATAATATTACAACATCACACAGTTGAGGACACAGACCAAATATTGCAAAGGAAGCTTTATTGCCAGTGACAGAGGGGAAATATCCAGGATGGAATTTTCTTTCCACAATATATTGTACTCTGATCTTGATTTAAACAGTCCAACACCGGTTTTAAAAGTACATCTATTTAGTTACCATATACCCTTAATAGTTACAGTCCTGCAGGTCTGAAGATATAACTTTCACCTCAACACACAACGGCCAAATAAACACGTCCAGTTATAATTTATCAGATATTCAATCACGATCACTGCACCAAGGCCTGGCCATGCAGCTGGGGTACCTCTCCACGCTCCTCCCTTGTAAATCAATGCCATGGCATAATTCCTATTAAACAGAACAACACACCCATAAAGCCGCAGGCATGGCTTTTACAAGGATACGCTCACAGATACAATGGCACTTTAAACTATTTGGAAAAAAGAACTGCACACAGAGCTTGCTGAACATATTATTTACTATAGTAACAAATACATTGTTGGAAAACGGTACAGATTTCTTTTTACAGTTGATTTGGTTGCTTTTTAGCTGTTTCACCATTTAGGGTATTTGATATATGAAATGGCCTCCACAAAAAGCCACCGGACAACAATCGACATTTGTGTTTCTAAAACAAGTCCATGTGTGGATGACTATAGCTTTTTGAATTAATTTGATGGAAGATCTGATTTCAAAATAAACACGTTATTGTGTTAAAAACAAAAAGGATCTATATTGCACGTTCCATCGAGACTCACAGGAAGAGTGTTGAATCTTTTGACTGGCCACACAGAACCTCAGAACACTTGCATTGTTGTCATGGCAACACCACCAATATCCAGTGTAAGGGCCATGGGGGGGGGGGGCGCACATTATACACCGTTTCATTATCAGCCGTAATGTCTGCCTCCACACACAACTAAACACAGAAACAAAATACATTTTGAATACAGCATCAGCTCGCTGTGATTACCAACAGACACTTATTGTCCTGGAATGCTCTGGTGAAACGACACTCCATGTGACAAACGGCAGTAATAACAGTCCCCTCGCTGATATTTACATGGCGGGTTACTGTAGTGCAAAGACTGATTGAAAGGAAACTATTTATTCTTTGGTTAAAAATGATATAAATATATTTAAGTTGTGCGTTCAGACACCTGCACAACATCCTACATAATAAAATCTTTAATAAATCTAATTTGTACTATTTATTACGTGTCCATCTATTAGTATCCTCACTCTAAATTATCTATTTTCTGGTGACATTCTGACAATATAGATGTAAAATTAACTCTAAAAAAAAGGCCACATACTGTATGTCTCTGTTGTATGTGTACGCACACAGTTTGGTAATGAATACACGTATCCCGTGGAACTTATATAATACTCATTTCTTATGACACATTCACGATGCATGAATCACGGGGAACACAGCCGGGGCAAAACAGCGATGTTACAGGAACATCCCACTTGATCGGACATCAATAACGGACTTGCACCTTCCTTTGTTTCAATCATGCAAAACAAAAATAAATATCTATTAGTATAAGTATGAAAATAATCACCACTACAGCCATACACACTCACGTACTGTATACATACTGATATATACACGAACTTCAAACTGCACGTTTGAACAATATCTAAAGGTACACACCAAAATAGAAAACAGAAAAATGGGTAGGGGGGGGAAATAAAAGATTCATAGCTGGGTCAAACAGGTAGCACAGAGCAGCACTCAAGTGTAGGCACAATCTGCTTTTTACATCATCAACAACGGCCCCAAAGGAAAAACCATAGCTACCGAAACATAGGTGACCTATACAAGCACACAAACAGGTCAACAAGTAGACAGTACATTTTGACACTGCATAGAGTTAAAAACACAGTCCAGGCAAGCACTCAGCTGTACCGAGCGCACGTCACCGAGATCTGATTCTAGCTATATTAGCGACCACAAACACACACGTCTGCGCTTGTGTTCAGCTAAGGTACGTCGTCGTTTATCTAGGCTTTGAGACTTCCTCCCTTTCCCCTGGACTGGCTCAGTTGGCCTGGACTGGTTTTGGACCCACTGCAACGCCATTACAGTCGAGAATGTACTGCAGACAACCTTGAGGCGGGTGCCCAGCACCATTTTTAGTGGGTTCGCCGACGATCTCTCCCTTCTGGCCAGCTCCCTAAAATGATAAAGAGGTATCTTATTCATCCTGCAACAACTGTGATTGTTGATTATTGCTAAACTAACACAAGCCTCATGTTTCTAATCTCTGTGCCCGTGTGTTACTATACCTGGGATGGCTGTATGGTGGTGGGTCTCTGGGGAGCATTAGCTTCCCTCTCCGCCGACTGGTTCATCTCTGCCAGCACCATGTCTGCGATAAGCTGCCTGTCCTCGGCCTGGTGCTCCCCCACCAGGGGCATAGAAGAGCCCACCACCTGTGCCGCATGGAGGATGGTTATAGCAGAGAGAAAGGGAAGTCGACACTTATGTCACACTCATTTTTTACAGACTGATACACTGAAATATTTCACCTGAAGGAACAGGTTTAATCATTACAAGCTTTCAATCAGGATGTCAATCAGACTCCTACCTCTGTGATGAAATCTTTGCCATCTTTCCCGTGGATAGCTTTGACTGCGCAAATAGCCAGACCCCCGAAAATCTTTGAGCAGGTGTCGACCCACAGCTTGTACCTGAACAAAACGCATGACTCAAAACCAGTTGCAGCATAATGAGACACTGATTGCCGCAGCTGATCGCAGCAAACAGGTCAACGCACCGGGAGTTGCTTACTAATATTCCACATGTAACATAATCAATGAACCTGAGATGATTTGCTACAATAAAATCAAACATTTGTCTTTGTATTGGAGTGTGGGGTGATGCAGGAATGAGTCCTAAAACCCGGAAATTAGTTCATTATTTTATCGGTTCCCTTGTCTCGAAGTCGATGGTTACTTTAACGGGTTTTTGGTTAGATGCCTGACAGTAGATTGTTTATAGCCTAACTTTACCTTTTCACTTCTACCGATTGCATTCACGCTTCAAAAATCAAAAAAGTGGGGTTCATTTTCTTGAGATTATCTTGCTGAACAAGAAGAATCATGAACTTGTGTTTGCCACAGAGGTTTTTTTTCTGCAATAACACAAAACTCAATGGAAAAATCCAGTTGGCTTTTTGTCGAGGGAACCAAGGTGATGCTAACTTCTGGGGTTGGCCTATAAAAATGCTTCATCCCTGCCCCACTCTTTAAAGACAGAGTGCATTTAAGTCAGCGCGTGGTGGGAAAACAATCCACCGCTCTCCATTGACTTTGCATTGGGTGAAGGTGCCTCCTTGTCTCTTTTGTCTGCTAACAAAAAAGCTGAAAAATGCCTAAAAGCTGCTGTGTGGTGGGATGCACTGCCTACATGGCAAAGAGGCCAGCACTAAGTCTTTACAAGCTTTACAAGTCTTTACAAGTTGGATTCTTCCTCACTCACCTATCAGTCATGGCCACCTGCTCCAGCATAGCTGAGCCAGTATTGGTCTTCCAGTTTCCAGATATAGACGTTCTCCTGCAGCGTGTTAAGCACACACATTACAACTGTTTTGTTTCTTGTTTACTTGTTAAGCTGGAGTAGGAGAAGCGTAGTTGCACTTACATGTAGGCTTTGTAGTCAGTGCCGATCTTCTGGATTCTGATGTCGTACTTGGAGTCGATGAGAGGTTCTGTGGTGGTGTACGTCTGGGTGAGAGCCACGACACTGGCTATGTCCTGGAACTTACTGTGATTGTCCACCTTCACCTGTACACAGAAACAGACGCATGAGACAGAACCGAGCGTTGTGATATATTGATGACACTCAAATTGCTCGAATTAGCAGCATATTTAATATGGCTAAAGTTCATAGCAAAACAACTTGATGCATTCTTTCATATGACTGCAAGAAGAAAAATCCCCATACCTTTCCAATACCGGAGTGGGCGTGTCCAATCTTCACAACAACAGGGAATGACGGCATGCTCACCTAAAGTAAGAAAGTTCTTGCCTTATATCCTGCTTCATACTTTCCTCTTACATTTGCAAATTAGCACAAACATTTTGGAACAATCTTTGAATGCAGTAACAAAAGTGTGTTCTCACCATCTCCTTGTAGTTTGGGTAAAACGTCTGCTCGATCAGAGGGAACTTCTCTGAACCCAGCTTTCTGTGGGTGTTGATTAGTTGGGCAAACTGGACACACAAAAAGGTAAATAAATCATGTATAACGTTTGGATAAATCACATCACAGAGCAAATTACAGTTGTGTGTTAGATAGAATACAATCCAGACAGAGAATAGATCATTATTATTGAGTGCCTACCGCCCATGGCTTGTCACACAGGTTGTAGATGGACTCCAGCGAGTTGATGCATGGGACACCTCCATACTGCAGGCCAATGATCAGGTTGCGAAAATCTTCATTCTGGGTCATACTGAAGGCGTGTTGACGAATGAGGACAAAGTCTGGCTTGAATGACCTGGAAAATTAAATCATAGCAGAGAAAAAAATAACAAACAAGTGTGATAAGTGATGACAGCAATGAGGATCAATCAGTCAGCAAAACATGATTAAACTATGCTAAATGTTGACTTCGGTGGGTAAATCTTTTCTGTGTTCTCGTGTGTGTGTGTGTGTGTGTGTGTCTCACCTGATAACCTTGGTAGCATTTCTGAGGACTTGCATGTTAACGTTGCAGGTCCCGTTGGCATGGGCCACAACGTTGATCTCATGGAATTCAGCCTGAGGAGTCAATGATTTGAGAAGTGTGTGAGGACAAAGTGCCTCCACTTCTCTTTACAAAAGTATTTAAAACGGAGAACACTGGCTTGGCAAAACGTACCTGCTCCACTTTGATGTCGTAATCTCCATTTATTTTCTTTCCCCGGAACAATTTCGCCCTGGTTAAAACAGAAACAATGTATCAACTTAATGTAAAAACAGAATAAGGATTCCTAAAATAGAGATTTGCGTTCGAGATAATGACAACAACCTGGAATGTGAATTAATGTTGAGTGTGTATACAGAGCAGACAAATGCTCCCTTTCACGCTCTTCAAACTGCTGATACACAGCCTCTCTAACACTTCTTCCCTTCAACGAGGATAGCGCTGAAATATTACAACACTTTTCCAGGCTGTGTCATCTTTAAAGCCAAGCCGTCGACAGCATACGCACACACGTGCAATTACTGCCTGGTCCACTGGCAGTAACACACAGCGGGGCTAATAAAGGACGATGCACAGGTAACATTCCTGTTCAGAAAATGGCTTCACTTGTGATGTGATTCAGCACTTTTTAAAACAGAGCGTCTCTCGTCATTCTGACTTGAATAAAAATGACACAGGCGGGCCCTTCTTTTTCTTTTTTTCCTCCCTAAATCACTGGTGAAGTGGAGATCTTTTGGCATTGGAAGCTGCAGAAGCCAGACAACGATTGTCAGTGTTAACAAGGAGTTTGATTTCTTTGTGTATTTTCTGGGGATGGGCCTGACAACATAAGCTTCAGCTGTAGAAACTACTCGGGTGATCTACAGTAAATCAATAACCGTTGCCCAAAAAAGAACTCTTTCCATCAATTTCAGGTTTGATTCTGGTTTCCTTTCCACAGCTTCAAGCTTAAATACTAACAGCCATCTGCTGCAGTGCAACAGTCTGTGTGTGTAAATTGGTGCGATGAAGGATATTGTGAAACCCATTTTTACAGAACAGGATTTGCAGAATGTCCACGTTTCAGTAAGGCTGTGTTGATACATTTAGACGACCTGCTGTGGAGTTCTCACTGCGTCTTCCTCTTAGTTCGTATCACCCCGCTGTCACGTATCCTGCACTCCCTGCCAATTTAGTGCAGAGCTAAAGCTGAATAATTCATTCCCAATCTAATTGGGGCACAGGGAACTATTTGGCTGTGGTGGAAAACAACCATTAAAATATGAATCAGTGCTCCTATAGCTGAGAAAATGAAAAGCCTGGCCTGCACTGTGATGAATGCATACTGCAAACTGAGACGGTGCTTCCAAAGCACCACCAACAGAAACAAACACAGAGACGGGGCATGAAAAAAGCATCTGGCTTTATTTTGCAGTTTAAATTGTAATCTTTGTCAGCATGGGGAATGGTTGTGTGGAGGGAGCATAATGTTGTGTGTGATCACTCTGCAGAGCCCAGTTCAGCATGCTGAGCATGAAAGCCCCACGTTCTAGAGGACGCCATCAGTTCTTATGCATTAATATGCATTAGTGTTTGACAGGAACCAGCTCCTCTGGTTAAAATCTACGACGTTATTGTTATGTATTAGCAATAATTCTGCCTTTACCATTATATCGTTCTGGCCTTAAAACTGGAGTTAGCCTCAGCGGGCACTGAGCCTAACTGCTCACTGAGATATTTACTTGGATCATTCATTTGTAAGAATCAATATGTGTCCTCTTGACTTGAGTTAAATGAGATGAGAAACCAAATAAGACAAAAAAGGTGTTCCTCTTTTGTGATTTTAAGAGTGAGTCAATATCGACAAGAGAAAAATGAAGCGACTTCATTAATGGTTGCAGGTTTTCAAATTGCCAAATCATCTTATTACTGTGAAATATTTTTTTTAATTCAGATGATTCACCCGAGAGCTTGGTTAGCGGGAGTGCCTGCTGAATTTTAATGTCTGCTTGACATTCACTCTCACACGTGAGTAATGTTTGAAAAAGGTTAAGCTCACAGTACAAAAAATAATCCTGCTCTGATTCCAGTCAAGTACAGCCCCCCCCACCCTCTATGTTTTTCATTTCGAACACTGAATAAAAGGAATCTATGCCCCTGCTTTAAATTGAGCGGCCTTATGGAGAGAATGAGAGCGCGGTACACGTCGGCCATTAGTCTGATAGGTAAGACAGTGGAACATCTGCTTCTCCTGTCGTAAGAGCAATTTATAGCACAGTATTCCTGGCACAAAACAAACCTCCCTAGAGGCCTGGCAGCTTCATCTAACAAGCAGAAAGGCTGTATGAATGACGGAGGGCTTCTGTCTCTATCTGTGCTGTAACTCGCTATGATTTCATCAGCCCACGTTTTATCTACAGTTAACTACTCTCCTTAACACAACCTGTTACACAACAAAGTCCTGGTCCGAATACTGATATTAATGTTCTCTGTTTTCTTTATGTGGCTGATTCTAAGATTGCAGGACATTTTGAATAATAATTAAAGTATCTCAGACACTAAGATAATCCTCATTTGTTGCTGGTAGCTGGTGTCCATTTGCAAAGACAGAATTTAAGTAATGGTCAACATTTTTTCTCTACACCTAATTGATTGTAATGTCCTTGATACAATATCAAGGAAATATCTATATATCATCTGGGATTTGACTCATTTGAACTGAAAAATAGATGCTGATGGCCGAGCCATCTGCCAGATGCAATTAGTATGAAGGACTCTTTCCTGATTTCATTCTGTGTGCTCATAACTCTGGCTTCCATTTGCAGAGGGCGGACAGAATAAAAAAGTCTTGAAACAGCCCGTCACAAAATGAGATACAGCGCATAAAGAGTCAGACTCAAGGTGTGCCAACATTACAGAGGATATTAGGGGTTTAGCAAACACCTGCATGAAAATAAAGACGCATTTCATCTTCTTATAGCTTGCCAGCAGCTGTATTTGTTGCTGTTTCCATCCCGCCTGTGTGAGACCTGCATGAATACAAAGCATGCGGCGTTTCAGACACGTCTGCACTTTTTCTGACGCTTTCTCCTCTGAATCATCCACGTGATATTTGTTTTATATACACGTCTATAAGCTACACAACACTGAAAGTGAATGAAGCAGACCTACACTACTACTGAGTAAACTAAGATTGATTTGTAGGCCTACTGCGCACTGACTTGCAACCACTGGGTGAAAGGTCGCACGACAGCAACCAAAACAAACCAAGCCTCGTGCTCAACTCCCCACTCGGTGATATTGAGCAGTCATGAAAAATAGATGCAGCACTCAGACAGAGGAAGCCCTTTTGAATGAGGTATTTTATCCGATTCTCCCCAGTGGATGCGTATTACATATATGAAGCAAGAAACCATTATGAGCGATGCTAGTCTGCGGAGATCATGAACACAATGGACTAACATTGCATATGAATGAATGTCATCACTTGACATTTTTCATCAAATACGGAGACACTACTTCATATCAGATATGGTTAAATACCGACAGTAAGGACAATGGAGTGTGAAAAACTGTATCACTCGCAGCCCAACCTACTCAATATTCTCAATTGGAATGGCCTTTGGTGAATGACGTGGTTTTAGTTTAATGGATTAATGCGCTCCTCTGCCAGAACTGCACTGCAATCCTTATTCCTCAACAAGCTGCTTGCTTTCCGCTCTCAACAAATGTGGAACAAGTGAAGCAAAAGGCTGGCATCCCTCCTGCAGACGAGGGTCTGATCTTATTAATATTGATCAACGGTTCTGTACATGGCTAGTTCTGCACACATAAACAGGATAAGTGGCTGCTGCAAGGCCTCCTGACTCAGCGAAGCCGATATCCTACTATTTGTGTGATTTGTTGTGTTTTAGGGGCAATGTCCTCAGAAGATTCAACTGAATTCAGCTGCATATGTATCTTCGGCAGTGTAAAATGAAAGGCCGCCACCGTGGCCGTCCGACACAGACGACATATTAACCTCGATGTGACACGTGTGTGGACAACATGACATCCTGCATAGACGGATTCCAAGTGTGACGGCTCAGTTCATTTCACTTCACATCTAAACTACCAGATATTCTGATGTTGTTCAATGCTTAAAGAAGGGGAATGAAGATTTTATTTAGATTTTATTTCCATGCTGTGTGAAAGCCTAAAGGGTCCACAAAGTCAGAATACCATCCAGTGTGAAAGCAGTCTCTTTGTGCTGTGAGCACAATGAGGCATTATAGAATATAAATAAATAACTACAGAAAATTCTGCCCTGACCCGCATTGTTCCGTTTTATTTTCCTCTTATTTCCCTTTATATCCTCCTTGGTAAATACTGTCTCCCCTTTTTGCTCGCTCCCTTCTTTCACATAGAAAACCAGTCCACCCGGAAACAAAAACACTCGCAGAACACTAAACACATGCGTACTACAATAAACATTATACCTTTTTTCTTCTTGTTGTTGCCGTCGCAGTTGCTGCTTGCTCTTTTGTTTCGGTTTGTTTGAGTCTAATCATCCCCCTTGTATGATATGTTTCATCTGTTTGTTTTCATGCTGGTCATATGTATTGCATTTTTTTGTTTTCATATTGCTCACTTGTATTGCACTATTAAAAAAAAAGAAAGTAAGGCATAATAATGTCCATAAATTCTACACAATAGGAGAAAATGTAAGTCACATAGAAGGACTGGGCAATTCTGTGGGGTATCCAGCTGCACAGCTCCAGCACACACATTGCTGTGGAAAATATGTCAGCTGTGCAAACAAGTGTTGATCGTGTGGGGATAGAATTACCATATTCTGTATTTTTTCGACAAGATATCCGTCTCAAAATAAATAGTTTCCTCTAAATCTGTGTGCCTACTCGTTCAGAGCGCTTTAAATCTGTACCACAGTTGACTGACAGCGGTACTTGTTTAAAGATACCTCTGAGTAAGATCCCCCAGGACATTACCTGTCAGTGCAACAGCTTAGATGCCTTAACGTAAAGCCAGTACTCTTAACATTAATGACACAATGGTCCCATCTCAAAGCCGGATGAGAAATATAACCATGCGGATGATGCTATTTAATTTCACTATATATTTTACTTACCTATCTACTGCACACCACTCGTATGATCGGCTAATGGAGCCCTATGCACCATGTGCCGCAGTTAATTACAATCCCCATGTCAGTGCAGGGCATGTCATGTGACCTCCTATCTGTGAGCGGGGGGGAAACCCCATTGATGGAGGGAAAGCACTGCAGTATTTAGACTGCCTCCAAAGAAATAATGTACATTTCCCATTTATGCACAACCTGTGGAACATCTATTTTTAAGAATGGCAAAATGCCACATTACATGACAATACTATCAGTTATTTTAGTTAATAGACTAGTTTTTCTTTTTTTTTACAGGCAGCTGTCATAAACCTTTCTTTCTATTTCTCCAATACGTAGAACAAAACAATGCCACATTAAAGCCCATCTTACTACACAGACAGAATAGAGGACAATAAAAAGCATCCATCTTGGTGTAATGTCATTACCGCTATGAATCAATGGACCGTATTTGCTCAAGCATTGGCTGCCTCGTTGTATTACCGTAACACTGGCATGCTGTACCATCAAACCACAGCAGCAGTGCCCATTCTCATCCGCAGGGCGCATGATGCATGTTGTTTCAGTGGTTCTTTAACCCTTTACCTCACTGCTACATCAAAGGAATCACGTGGAGAAAAATCAACACGAAGGACGAGCAAACAAACGATACACAGCCCAGAAAGGATTCGAGGGGACAGAGTAGAGCAACACATTGTCTTACCACTCCTGTTGTGGTTCGTCAATTACCAGGAGAATCTTGAACTTCTTAGGTGTCGTGACTTGGGTCTGCTCCACTAGCCCCGCTGAGGCAGCTGTCTGCTTTACAACGTTGGTGATGGAGCTGAAGAAGCCCGCTCCGGTGGACTGAGACGGCTGGGGTTTCCTCTCTGGAGCAGGGGAAGTGGCTGGGGGAGTGGGCCCAGTTGTAGGAGACTTGGCTGGGGTTGGGGAGGCAGGTGGAGCAGGCTGAGCGCCGTCAGGCCTCTGGAGGTCAGTCATGTAGCCATTGGGCAGGTTGGAGATGAACGTGCTGTCCGAGAGACGCCGACGCAAATAATTCATGGCTGCAGCTCAGAGGGGAGAAGAGTCAACAAGAAAAATGATTCTGCAGAGGAGTCCCCGTTCCCAGTGTATAGCTGATAATGGCTGAGCTCTCAATGCAAACTCCCAGCGAGCATCCTCAGAGCTCCCCCTCACTGGCGGTGACGCGACACTCTCCCTCGACCAATCCCGTCTTCCCTGTGCTTTCCTCAAGCATTGCAAATGATGCCCAGGCTGTACTTCTCCTCCCTCATCTCATTCTCTCCTCTTCTCCACTCTAACTGGCGTACATGCCTGCCTTCTCTACCCCTCCCCCATTCCCTGCTGCCTCATAGGCGTCATGCTTCTTTGAACCACTGCATATAAAATAGAGGAGTTTCCTATGTAAGTGCAAGAGGGTATAGACTACTACATCATAATAGACATACTCTGGCTCCCGCTGTTCCATGTGTTGTTTTTTTTCTGCCCTGTGTCCATGCACAGTGCTCTGTGTGTGAAACGCAGCCGTGAAATCTAAAATGGCTGTTTGGACTAGTGGGCAATGTTGAATGAGAGGACGTCAGCAGCAGTCCCCTGAGACTCAAATGCATGCAGTAGATCCTCTCTCTTAATTGATTTATACAGCCACTTACGTTTACAATTTTACAAATTACAATTTGCCAACAAGACACGCTTTATTTCAGCAGCACTTGTCCACTGTGGGTGGCAAAGTTTATCATTATCTGCTATTAAATTTTCATTTTAACATTAACTTCTGTACACAAAATGACTGCTTACAATATTTATTGGGGACTAAATGATCTGCCACTTCACAAAAAATATGATAAAAAGCAGATATCTTTAAAAAAAGTGTTCATGAAAAACTTCTTTACTAATTTTGAACCCCAAAAAAACATTTGTATGACGAAGCAAACAGACTGTCACTGGTACTCCTCCTTATAATGCATTAATAGCATGCTGTTTCATGATTTAATTGGTATATATAAGGAATATGAAGGAACTAGCGCTGTGTGATGAAACCATCACAGAGCTCTATGTCTCCGGTAAAAGATGGATATTTTGAAAATGCATCAGGAAACAGATCAATAACACATCAATCACACTTACTGGTCAAGGGGGGGCTGCACAGTTCATGCAAATCTGAAAACACACAAACATTGACTCTTAAGGGAAAAACTGAGGAGTTATACATCTTATTACTAAGGCAATGGAATCTTGAATTGTCAGCATGATTATATATTTTTCTACCAAACAACCATGAAGCTGCTAGTTGACAGGTGCCCTCACACTCGTGAAATCTGCTGGACTGGTTAAAAGCTGATCTTTGAGCAAACTCCCTCGGCCATCAGGAGATTTAAACTGCACTGACAGGCACAGGCCACCGTCAGGATAGTAGTTAGATAAAATGCGGTAAATATAGCATCAGGCTACTTGCACAGAAAGACTCAAACCTACAGTGCATAAGCTGTATAACAGTTGAACTTGTGGACACTTTAAATAAATTAACAGTATGTGGTCCAAAGCTAGGACGTTGAAATATAATGCGTTGTCTATGGAATTTGTTTGATCTCTATAAATGTGGAGTAAGTTCACGTTTTGTCCAAATTAGCTTGTCATTACTCTACTGCTATTATTTATAAACCTGATGTTGCACATTCTATATATATATACTTTATATATATTTTCACAATTTCAAGTAAATGAACTGTATGTATATTTGTGTAACATAACAAACTTCTGTTTCTAGCAAATGGAACAGAAAATGGAATTGGTAATACAATATTAAATCATCCTAAAAAAACAACAATAATACCATTTGTCAAAGCTGAGCTTCTAATGAATAGAGGAGTTTTTTTTAATCCATGACAGTGCAAAACTCCAGCTAATTATAGCTTGTTTGCACTATAATATTGTCATTCTGTTTCTTCATATTTAAATTTTACTGTCACTCTGCCTGGTTACTGTTCATACACAACATACATTTTTTTCTCCTGTTAAAGGATGTGGGATTTTAACTTTGTTGTTGTTTTTAGGTTGTACAGATTGTAAAGCCCTTTGAGGCTATACTTGTGATTTTGGTGTATAAAAATAAATGATATGAAGGACAGTATAGGATGAAGATACTAGCCATCTTACCTGAATATCAATGTATTTTCTTTGTAAATATTGGTCATGAAAGACAGTGATAAGGCCAGCCTTAGTACTTGTACATAAGCTTGAGAAAAGCTGCACCATCATGTGCTGAATCTTATGCATGGATAGTGGATCCTAGGGTGACATCAGCTGGTAGTAGTGGTGTAGTGAACATCCAAACCAACCTCCACTTTGGTGAAAATATAAGTCAGATGTATATAGATGAGAACAACAGTACATCCACCTAAATTAAGCATTTTAGTTTTGTTTATTTTGCGCAATTTAAAAACAAAATACACAAACATAGATACATCATATCACAGTGCAGGAAGAGGCAGAAAGCCCACTGGGTATATTTAAAGCCTCCAGCGATATAATATAATATATGAGAACACAAAATTTATATCCATATACATGAATATATGTATGACTATGTAATACTGTGACAAAGTATATTTGCATTTGTGTTATTTATTGCTCAGACAAAAGGTTTTTATTTTTAATTAAATACAATTAAAACATGTTTTGTTTAGTCGATAAAGAGTTGGGTGTCAAACTTTTGTAATGTTCAAGTTAAATATTTAACTGTTTTATGCGAGCTAAATCATTTGTCAACTTTTGCAGTGCTGTGTTGCTGCATGAAGTTCATTGTAAATAGTATTGGTTGCATTGATAATAGGCAGACCTCCATACAGTAGGTTCAGAGCAAAATCACAGTATTCATCCAGAATAAATGCACCTTTTAGCTGATTGTCATCGGATCTCTAAACGCGGCTAACTCGTCCCCGCTAGGGCCGCTCTCCACTCTTTTGTTTGAGGACTGGTCCTGTGAGTAACAGCAACCTGTGGGCTAACTATGGCGATGTTGTGGCTGTAAAGCTAGTGTTGTTGATGAAGTGAGTAACATTAACTTTTAAGGTTACGCTTCTTTTGAATGTTGTTGTCACAGACTAGCTCGGTGTGTTGGCGTTTGGTTCAACGTTTATTCGGCTTTGCTAAACGTCAGTTGAATTTAGGACCTTTTAAGCAAACCAGCGTTAACTAGCTACAAAGTTGTGGAGTAGCGTAACTGTTAGCTAAAGGTAGCTGGCTAGTTTGTTAGCTAAATACTGTAACGATATGTGTAAAACTATTGTAAAAGTAACCATCAAAGTCAGAGATTTTAACTTTATTATCTAACTAACTTTAACTCGTATAACGCTGACAGTAAATTGTAGCTGTTTAAAGCTAGCCTAACACTGGAGAAGTTAGCTTAGCTTAAGTTACGTGTGTAGCTAACGTTAGCGGTACTGCTAGCTACGTGTGTAGCTAACGTTAGCAGTACTGCTAGCCTTGGAGTCAGCGTCAGGATACCAGCCAGCTAACGTTAACCGCTAACTTCAAGGAAAACGATTTTCATCGAATTGCTTCAAGCCAAGTTTACTCTGTTTGTCTCTTCTTCAGGATATAACTTTTTAAGTGTTGCCTTCGCTGGTGTATCTTGCTAACACCGATGTTAGCAACTAGCCTGTCCGTGTAGATGCTCTTCACTAGAATGGACCTGTTGAACTCTCAGTTCCTGGACAAGATGAACAATAACATCGGGAGACTGCACTACGAAGGTTAGTTTTAGCATTATTTGCGCGTTGTTCTGTGGTATTATTCTGTTTATTTAACTTACCAACATCAATTCCTCCGTGTTTTGGTTGCGATTAGCTAACTTTTTCCAACACTAGGCTCGAGTCAAGCACACAACGTTCTGTCAATTTTCATGCAAAATGCAAGGTGCCATTAAACTGGGTATAAAGTGTGTGCTGGTGCGTGTGTTTAACTTCTCAGTGAAGGAGACTACAACTCTTAATGTTACATTCCTAATACCGGAAATACTATCATAAATGACCTCAAACCCTCTTATTTATTAGTATGTTATAAACAGTTATTAAACTTTATTGCAAACAGTTTTGCCATGGGAATATATTGACAATATCCGCTTATGTAGTTGTTTCTGCGCACAGAATTTCATAACTTTCAGGAGTTGATTTTACAACAGAAGTTAATGACTCTCTTGCACATTGCTCGATTGACTTGACTTTCCAATCAGAAGTCGATTCTATCTGTGAAAACTAAACAGAGACCTCACCTTTTCATATTTTGGGTGTCAGCAGGGTAATCTGGATAACAGTTGAGTTGCATTTACCAGGACCTGTACATCTGGTTAACCAATGATTGCTTGCCCTGGCCAAGTTACATTAATTAAACATTTTTGGGGGAACCTTTTGTCACATGGTCATATATATATATATATATATATATATATATATATATATATATATATAGCCATGTTAAGCTATAGTAGTTATTGTTCAATGTGTTATTTGTTCTGCTGATTCCTTTCCCACAGATGAGTCCAGGACGCCCTCCCAGCCCACTGCTATGTCCAAGATAACTGGGCCTCCTCAACACTGCCCAAGCAAACGGAAGTATGGCGAAGAACAAATGGACGACCGAATCAACTGTGATGATGACCACATGACCAAAATGAGCAGATTGTTTGCCACTCAGCTGTAAGTGCCTAAAAAAAAACAACAACATTCAACCTGAAACAGTTGAGATTATCAAACAAAAGTCTGAGCATAACCTTACATTCTTAATTCTGGTGGAATGCAAAGACCACCTCCAGGCTCTAAAGCGATTTAAAGAGACAACTTAGATTACTGGCACATCATGCGTATAATGTTGCCTGCAATGACCAATGGGATGCACACAGAAAAAAGACAAACAAGACACCCCCTAGTCTACGCTGTGTGCTGCCATCTGTTTATAGACATGAGAAGTGACAGCTGGTGTATGAATTGTCTATGAAAAGGAAACTTTTTGGTGGTATAAATTAATTTTGTGCTCTTTGTCTAGGGCCCGTCCCTCTGCTGGAGACAATCGTAATGAGCACTGGAGCCTCGGTCACAGTCCTGTGGAGCACATTACTTCTTCCTCCCCCAACGGTCTTCATGGGAACCACCTGTACGCTTCCATTGCTAGCTATGCTGTAGACCAGCCTCTGGCTCTGACCAAAAGCAGCCACGACGTTGTCGTCGGGTCCAGAGAGAGGTCTGTCATTGGTGGGACTGTAGAGCGGCAGCAGGTACGTCAACTTCAACGTCAACACTTATGGAAGGTACACTGACATCTGAGGTTCACAGTGACAGGAATGAAAGCTTTAAATGAGGTATTGATTATATAAGTGTGATAGAGTTATACACGATTTACCACTCTGTGTATTTCTGCTTGCTGCGTCAAATTAGTGACTGTGCAGGCTGTAGCGCGATGGCTCACCTCTGTCTGTTCGCTGATTGTATGTATTTGTTTTCCACCTATAGAATCGTCCCTCCGTTATTACCTGTGCCCCTGCGAGCAACCGCAATTGTAACCTCTCTCACTGCCACATGAATGGCTGTTCCCCCAGCCCACCTACCGATCCCATGAAGACCAATGGTAAGCCCCGATCATTACCATACACACCCTGTAATTGACTGCCTATAAAGTAGTATGACATTGCTTGCTAATAACCAGGTTTTTGGTCTTCTCCCCCCCCCACACATATTGTTGTTTTAGCTAACACAGAATGCGATCCTGTGATTGAGGAGCACTTTCGTCGCAGCCTTGGAAAAAACTACAAAGAAGCGGAGGCCGTGTCCAACTCGGTGTCCATCACAGACTCAGTGGACGACCACTTTGCCAAGGCGCTGGGAGACGCCTGGCTCCAAATCAAGGCTAAGGATGGGGGTCGTCAAACCCCAGAGGCAGATCCGTGAAGCAGAGGGGAGTAAACATTACAATCACTTCCTTAGAGTTCGCATAGTGAGAGTGGAGATGTCGTTTCTAGCCAAGCATTTACTTCCCTCAGCCAAGAACAATGTATTATCAGGTGCTCACACGGTGTTCCCTTGAGGACCTCAAGGCAGACCTTTTTATTAGAACACTCGGCTTAACTTAAACTTTATCTCAGTGGTCGTATACATACAGGTACATACATGACATTACGACTTCTGCATTTAACCCAATCTGAGCATTTTAGGAGCACTGCTTCAAATTGGCAGTTTGGTGTAGTTGGGTTGACAAAGTTAGCTGTGGAAAGTGTACAATCAGAGATTTGATCCTGCAAAGATAATGAGATTCACGAAGTGTTCAGGGGTTCATCTGCCTGCCTTGATAGCCAAAGAAACGCCCCGCCTCTCCCCATCAACATATAAGCAATAGATCCTGTCTGTATCGTCTTTCATTCTAAAATCACACTGCTTTTAAAAAAATAATCTACAATACTTTAAACAAGACAACCAGGTCTCATTTGCTCTTTTACGTCTCTGACCATGTAGGTAGCAGGTTACCTGTTTCAGTTGGAACAAACGTGTTCTTGTGCGTTGCAATTGTGGCGATACAATCACGGCTCTGGTCCCCCCCCCCCCCCCCCCCTCCCCGGCTCTCTGAAGACACTGGCCGTGTTTTCTTTATGATCCTGAACTGGACTTCTCCACTGTTAACTGAATTATTTTAGTTTCCTGTTTATATGCTCACTGTGGCTGATTACGTAGTAAACTAATCTCAATCATAGTAGATGTGTCTAACTAGAACGCATGTTTCAAATAGCTGGTTTCTATTACAAACCTTATTCTATACTATATATTTACTCAGAATTTATTTTTTATCTGTAACATTTTAGAAATACTCACTGCTGGTACAGTTGTACTCAATATATTTTTTTGTATCTGGTTTTCATTACTCTATGTAGGTGTAATTCTTAGCACCCATCTACAAATCACAGCCTCTGGAAAGGTTGTCTGACTGCAGTTTAAAAGGCTTTGTTGCTCATTATTCTGTGGACCTGGATGTTCTAGCTTTCTACGTGACTGAATACAGATAAACCTGACCCTCGGTAACAGTCTGTTAGCAGTGGCTTTATTTATTCGGAACGCGTTGATAGTTTCATGTTGACTTTTGGCAAAAAACGTGGTGACCGCAGGTTTGTTTCTTTTGCATTGAGAACAACGGAGGATTTCTCCACTGCTTCAACGACGAAGCAGTTCCCCTCAAAACTAACAGTTAAATGCACCTGAAATACAGGTGTCCTTATTTCACGAGTAGGCGTCGACATTCCACCGGGATGATCTGACACTTGTCAGTCACTTCAGTTGAGTTTAGCAAGCACAACAAGTATGTCTGTCCTTTTTTTTTTTTTTTTTTTTTTTTAAATCAAGGTGATGTCATGGTGCGAGCTGCCTAACTGTTGCTTTGTTAAGGAGCAAAGTGTGAGTGGGTCACAGAGTTTCTTTTGTGCAGTTGAGTCTGGTTCAATTTCTCACCCTTATGACGTGCTCTACTTATGGTAGCATAACCTATTTGTCAACACTGATTAAGATATGGTATTGTACATTTTTGTATGTTAATTAACTGTCCGTGAGAACCTACATTTATATTAATATTCTACAGTTTTTAAATTGTTACATACACCATCCTGTCTTTTGTATTTTACTCATACACGACCATCATTGCGCCGCGCGGAATGATTATAGATATTTTGTTTCTATTCAGAATAGTTTACTCATATGTAGCATGGATGCTCATTATCTTCAAACCATGCTTTTTTAATAAAAAAAAATCTTTCTAAAAGTTTGTTATTTTCCCACAATTGTCGGACGATGAATAAGTGCAGGAACACGACAGTCTTTTGATCAAAGACTTCTGTACTAACGGTTTAAAGAGTTTGTTTAGCGTGTACTAGAGTGGATTTTAGGGATTATCATGGAATCTGCTTGTTTGATACAACTAGATCTGTCAGTAATATGTTTGGGGTATTAGTCCATTGTTATTTAATTGCTATATTTCGACTACCTGTATCTCAAAGACTGTTTTGCAGAAAGGTCCTGTTTCAGGTGTCATCCACGTAGAAAACAAAGTAACGCTTGTTCACTTTTGTCCTTATTTCGCTGGAAGAAAATGCCACTGTTTTGTACTTAACTTCTTCCAAAATAAACAAACAAATGCCTACCATTGCTGACCTCTTGTGTTTTTACCAAATAAAACATACTGCAGTCATAATTAGCAAATGACAAACTCTTCATTGTATGTTATTTGCATGCCTGTAGCTTGCAGTAACACAGCTTCTAAACGTCAACATAAATTCCGCTTGAAATAGGAAACCCTTGTGGCCTCCATTTTAGCTGAAGCTAAGCTACAAGGGGAACATGGTAATCTACGGACGTGACTGCAGGGATGAGAGTGGAATTCATTTAGCAGACAATGACCCACATTAAGATCGGCTGGATAGGCGCTGTTTGGTTGTTGTTTCCACTTGCTTATCTCTCAAAATGCCCAGTAGTGCTGCTACATCGGTAAATGACATTAGACATCTTTGTTGTGATTTCAGTGTTGCAGATACTCGAGTCAATAATGAAGTGGTTACACTAATTAGAGCTCTGCAATCAGGAGTAATAACTCACTCTCTGTTGTTATTGGACAAGCGCCGCCACAGCTACAGCATTAAGTGATTTATCAGCATATTAACTCGACCTCTTTGGCTCAAAGGAAGCGGCACTGGACAAGTGTCCTTTTTGGATGTCGAGTGGACTTGAACTGTACCTGTGATTACAGTATGTGGGGGGAGTGGCTGATGTTTGTTCCTGGAGCCGCTCTGTCTTGTCACCAGCTTTCACTCTTACCATTCGGATAAAGAGTTAGAGAAACATAAGGGAGGAAGCTGGAGCACATCACACTGTAGGAACTGTTGCTCTTTAGATACTAGATCTTTAAATCACCCTCTCTTGTCCCAGTGTCTCTATCCTCAGGTCATGCACAGGCAGTTATTTGGCTGTATTTTAATATCTTTCTATTTCTACTTAACAGTTGTGTGTGTGTGTGTGTGTGTGTGTGTGTGTGTGTGTGTGTGTGTGTGTAATAAATCCGGTGTGTTCTGGACAAGCAGCTGACATCTTCCCACAGACACCACAGCCGAAGCCTCTTTGGACTCTCGGCTGGCCTCAGATGTTCGGTTGATTCGGTGTCATGGTGACAAAGGACGGGATAATTGCTGCCGGAAAAAATCAATTACTTTCGAAGGGGAGAAAAAAGGGAATTGCCAGTGATGAGGATTGTTTGATTCAGACGTCAGCATTGACCTAGAAAGAATTTATCCTCCCTATTAATATGTTATAATGGAAAAGGGATAACATGACTGATGATTGTTGTGAGACCAGGCTGTAGTTGGATCAGAGATGAGCTATTTCTGTCCTTCCCACACCAGCAGGTGGCGGTGTTAAACCACCAAACTGACTCCCCCTAAACTCTCCCCCATCCCTGGAGATCAAACAAAAGACATGAGCGTCATGACTCTGGGAAGATTGATATGGATGCAGCATTTCTTCAACGTGTCCGTCAGTGATGTGAAAATGTACTTTGCACGTAAATGTATAGCGAGACATTGCTGTCATGCTAGAGAGCAAAATGCATTGCAGATGTTACCCAACATGATCCCAGACTCTAGCCTCAAAAGGTCTTCTTTTCTTCTTAAATGTCTTTTGTAGATGTATTTATGTATTGGTAACATTGTGTCTAATTAGCATACATCCATGGTTAAATTCTAAGCCTTAAAAATAGAATCCTTAAAAGGCTGAATGAAAATGTAAATGAGTATACCTCCACTTTGGCTAATTTGAATTTGTTGAGCGCCATTCATAACGCAAATCTTTCAAACTAGAACAGAAAGATCTTTTTTTTTTCTTCTTCTTCTTTGTTTTTGGTCGTTGCCGCTCTCACCCCTCAGGCTCCAATCTGCTCAAAAGCCCCTCCAATAAGACCACTGCCTCCACGAGATTAGACCCAGCCATTCACCAACCACAATGCCCCTGCGTCTGCTGCACCGTGCCTTCCAAGGAAACCTGCTCTTGTGGGATTATGGAGAGAGGAGATCCACATATTTTATTTTATCTTTTCTGCGTGCACAAAAACAAAACAAAACAGATCCACACACACACACACAAACGCACGCACACGCGGAATAGCAGGCCGACATGAAACTAGTGTCTAAATCAAGATGACACATCAGGGTCACGCCAAATTCGACTTAGCCCCCCTTCAGTGTGTGAAGGCCACAAGGAGCATGACATCTGTGCTGGCGATGGAGGACTGGTCTCTCTGAGTCGCTGCCTCTTGTTGCTGCCCGTAACAAGATGCACTCCGCTGCGCTCGGACACGGTCAGGACACACATATGTTGAACACTGTCCTCTCCATTTTGCTCTTGGTTACGTAAAAAAAAGAAACGAAAAAGGAGCGAAACGGTTTTAACGCTGAGCACTCTGGACACACAGCATGGAGTTATAATGAATCCCATTGGATACGTGTGTGATTTTACTACGGGCCAAATGGCCCTTGCAGTGTCCCACATGTTGGCTCTCACATTGCATGTTAGCCGTGCAAAGGGCTGATAGAGATCTCATTCTGTCCTTTGCATAATTCCAAATTTGTTGTGCCCGAATAGAATGCGAGGCTGGCACCCCCACCCGCCTATCCGCAGCATCCCCGAGTGCACACCGCCTGTGGAATTTGCATGATTGCCTGTAGATTATTTGAAC